AACGTCGGAATGAGAGCAATAATTGTAGGGCTATCAATCACTGATAACACTAAACTGATGAGCGGTAAAAGCTTTTAAAGCGTCACCTATGGTCAATTTTGGGCATGGTAATTTTTTGCGATTTTGCGGGTGCGCGCAATTTTAAAGCATTACATGTTTGGTGTCTATTTACCCAACGTGACCCCGCTTTTTATATTTTACCAAAAATATGGGTAATAAATGGGTGGTGTTACTGGGGGTGTGGCCACTAAAGGGTGTGGCCACTGAGGGGTGTGGTCACTGAGGGGCGCTGTAAAGCTTTCTCGCACAGGGCGCCTAAAGGCCTAAGGCCGGCCCTGCGTGCACAGCCGTATCGGGCAGCTCCCGGGAAGGACAGGTGCTGCGTGTGATTAGTATGCAGCCCCTGTCCTTCTCTATGGAACTACGCAGCCATACGTCGCACTATGCTCACCCGCCTTACACGTCCTTGTGGGTGTCTGTACTCTTACGGTGACAGGATGGATCCTGCTTGCGACTGAGATGGGACACCAGCTCGGATGCACTTGGGGTGAGCCTAGGGCGGCGTATGGCTGCGTAGTCCCATAGAGAAGGACAGGGGCTGCATACTAATCACACACAGCACCTATCCTTCCTGGGAGCTGCCCGATACGGCCAAGCTGTACGTGCCGGCCGTTTCTCGTGTGAATGAGGCCTAAGAGTGTTTATTGGCTTCATTGGACTGACAGGCTCCTAAATCCTAAATTAAATTGTCCACCCCTGCTAACAACAGTGATGACAACTGATGTCTAATTAATTTCTTAGAATTCTGCACCTGCAAGTTAATTATCTATTAAATTATGATCAGCATTTTAATATTGTGATTTGGCCCCAGTCCGATCACGGAATAAGCCAAAGACAATAGATGAAAACATGACTCTTACCTTGGTAAGGTTAGATTCTGCACACAGAGGTGATGGGCACTCGCAATGGGCAATGCCTCCAACCACCACACATGTTGCCCCAAACTGGCACTGGATATCATTACAGGATTTGGGAGCTGATGGATCTAGAAGATGCACAAAACCAGAAAAACATACAATTAGTAACACACAACATCAAATGCCAAAACACAGAAGCGTTTCCATTGCCAACAATTATTTTATTATAAATGTAACGTTTTCAAAAGGATATACAGGACAAAAGAAAACAACAGAACGACCTAGAAAAATGAGTAAACCGAGTCTCTTGGTAGATATACAAGCTAGACAGAGACAGAGCATTTATATTATTTAAAAGAAATAAACATTTTTTTAGTGAATTTGTAATACCGGAGGAATATTTTACTGCTGTCATCTTATAGATACTTGGTTTAAGACCCTAATTGAATAAAAGCTTAATTAACTACACCATGATTTTTAGGGTTCCCATATTATGTCAAGTGTACAAAGACATTTGTGTTTTGCTTCTGACATCAATTTGTACAGCATTTTTCATACATATATACAAAAATAGGAAAAAGGGTTTTTAAGGCACCAAATCACATTAGAGCAGCAGCGTCTGATGTCAGCAGGCTGCACAAGCACCTTTAACCTTTAGAGCCAGTTCACCTATAAAGAGTGCATTCCAGAGCGTTCGGCCTCTGGAACACAACCGGCCGGCTCACTTTGTTTTGGGGCGGGAGGGGGCATGGTGGTGCATTGAAGTCAATGGCCCCACAGCCACTCCCGCCTCCTGTGCCATGCGTTCGGGTGTCGGCACTCGCTCTGCGGGCGAGGGGTGTGACTTCAATGCTGCGCCACGCCCCCTCCCGCCCCAAAATAAAGTGAGCCAGCCAGGTTGCAATCCGGAGGCTGACCGCTCTGGAACGCACTCTTTATGGTGTGAACCGGCCCTTAAAGGCACCCGTGCAGCCTGCTGATGTCAGACACAGCTGCTCTGGTGCGATGGGCAGTTGTGGATGAACGAAAACTAAATGTAAAGGATTGGAAGAAAGTTAAAGCGGATATAGTAAGTGCTAATGATAATTTTATCCTTTGGGGCATATCTGTTGCATTATTACTAGGAATGCACCGTTATATCGGCCGCCAAAACATATCGGCCGCAAATGGCACTTTTGGCATAATGCCGAAAGTGCCATTTTCCTGCCGATACATCGCATCCCTGCTTTCTTTCCTCCCCGCTGGGCGCTGCTCTGTGTCCCAGCTGGGAGGAGAGAAAATGTGACAGTCGGCCGAGCACTGTGAGCGGCCGGCGAAAAAGAAATTGAGGACACAAAGTCCTCAATCTCTTTTTCTGCAGCCTCTGTTCTAAATGAATAGAAAGCACAGAGGCTGCCCATTTATTCAGAAAATATTTTACTATCATCTAGTTTCTGAATGGGGAGGAGCCTCTGTAGTGAGTGCTTCTCCCCATTGAGAAATTAATTAATGAACAGGAAGTGATGTAAATCACATCCTGTTCATTCATAACTGGGGACACAGTTATGAATGTGTCCCCAGTTATTTACAAACACTGGTGTGATCAGCTGATCGCTCCAGTGTTTGTCCTGCACAGAGGACGGGTGCATATCACTGATATGTACCGATCCTCTGCCGCTCGACCACGCACAGGGGGGCTCAGCTTCTCCTCTGGATCCCCCCCTGCTCTCCCGGGCAGAGGCATCGGGGGATCCGAGGAGACGTGAAAGAAGCTCTGCAGCCGCGGGGTGAGGAGCCGCTGTCACAGAACTAAGGCCAAGCGGTGAGGAGAGAGAGAAGCGCCGGCTGTCAGAACCTGGCCGAGCCTCTCTCTCTCTTTCCTCACCACTCGGCCTTAGTTCTGTGACAGCGGCTCCCTCCTCCGCCGCGGGCTGCAGCAGTTCTTACGATCGACTGGTAGATCGTGATCGACCTTATGGGCACCCCTGTTGTAGGATATAGTGGTGCACATCAATACTTTTTTAGGTGGTTTCCGAACATGTTAACACTATTTAAGGTCTGTCAACTAATGCACTTAACAGTAAAAACTGTACACAAACACAGTGCACTAAGCCTTTGCTCACAGACAACCTAATACACTAGAATGTCTCATTTTACCTTTACTAGTATTACTAGCTGCATGGTGCTTAAAGCATCAAGAAAACTGAATTCTGCTAGAGGGGAGAGAAACCATTTTATCACACGGAGGCTAGACATCCAGATGACTACACAGTCTGAGTAATTGTAAAACACTGTCAGATTTAATTTTGCTGTGTTTTTCTGCCTGCTCAAATCTGTTTTCATTCTGCTGTAGTAACCATAGAAGGTAAATCATTATTGATTATGCCATCAACCAATAGCAAATCTATGAACAAGCTTTGCAAGCAAAGCTTCACTTGGCCACATGATTGTGACCCAGAACATCAATATGTTTCTTTCCTGACTCGGTAAGATGTGAGTCTGGTACTCTGGGCAGTGACTTGACTTGTCTGGCAAATGTTCACACATTCGACAAACAATTAAAAAAAAATAATTTTATCAATGGTTCTTCACTATATACTAACTTGACAAAACAACATAGTTAACCATTCACATCCATCTCAATCTCACTACAACACCCCCCCCTTCTAAAGATCACCTGCAGAGGTTACTAGATATTTTGTAACATACAACTGGCTTTAATTATCTCATGTTAACATGAGCCATGGTTGTATATACAGTAAAACGTTTTGTATGGTGCTTCTGAACAAACATTTATGACCAGCAAGTTGAAAGATGGAAGCAGTTGCATGGCTCTTGCTCAGCAACCTACCCAAGATGTCTGGTTTCTTACCCTGCTCACAGCCGTTCAAGCCAGGCTTTTGTCCATCCGGGCACTGGCTGCATTTCAAACCAGAAATACCCGTCTTACAGGAGCAAAGGCCTGTCATCTGCTCACAGTCATCACGCACAGCTCCAACTGGATCACAATTGCATGCTGTAAAAACAAAAGGGTTGATAAAATGTAAATGGTCCCATCGGTATGAGTTAGCAGAAGCAGAATTGAACCACTGAATTATCGTTTGTTTAAATGATCATAGAAAAAGCATAAATGTTGTGATGATCTGAGCCTACGTGTTTAAGCACATATGCCTGATATCAGTCTTATCATGGTGAAATGACAATGGTTAGGGAGATAAGTCAACCAGAGTGTGTCACATGGCCGATCAAGAATCAATCATCTCATATCTCAGGGTACTTTAGGAAGACAATATTAATTCTTCAATCCTCATGAACTTTATTGTGCTTGATAATTTGTATGTGTATCTGGGGGCACAGTATCCTCCACCGCCAGGCATCAAGTACCGTCTGACCCAAGGACAATAGGGGATCCCAAGAGGTCTAGAGATGGTCTATAATATAGTCCCACAGTTATAGTGCATATCTCTCTTTCTCTATCTACATATATCCATATATATATATAAATATATATACACACACACACACACATACATGCATACACACACACACACATTTATGCTGTAGAGTTAGTGTTCCCTCCTTACTGATATACAGAGGTGATTTTTAGCTGCAGCATTTCTCCCTTTTTTTGCCTGCAGGTCTAGTGATTCCCCTCTACCTGGCTCAGCAGTGTCTGTCAAGCTGCCACGCTGACAGGCTCTTGGCTTGGATTACATAACTGACAACTGGCAGCCCGTGGGGCAGACATGACCAACTACACTCTCCTGGACAGTGCGTGGAAGAGCACTCCCAGCTGCATCCTGTCTATTGCACTTCATTGTTTTATTGCAGTGTTTAGAAAAGGAGCAACAGGCTCTGAAAGGACAACTTTGATATGATGTAACAAGGGACCTGCTGGGGTGCTCTAATAGTGATACTGCCGTCATCTAAGTGTTGGTGAGAGACGCCATACAGCCATCCATCAAGCCTCTGCAGCCTGGCTCTTTATTGCGTAATTTAGTCTCATGCCTTCAGCTCTATACGCTTGAATCAATCCTTGCCTCAGGCTTTCACAATCCGGCGGGACTTGTGGATTCAGGACAACTGTTCCAAAATGTTAAGTCTGTGTCTAAAAACTGCTGTCACAGTGAAACCTAAACACAATGTATCTTGCCTATGGAAATGGATCATTAACTATGTAATACGGGTTAGTTGTGCTGTTTTATTATCAAAAGAAAATCATGTACAATCTGAATATTGCAGAGCTTTTCTGAAGTGAAGGTGAGATGCAGAAAGTACTTTTCCTTTACTCAAACAAGATATTCCCATAAATATCTTCAGGTAACCATTAGAAGTACAGGAAGTAGAGAGGTTACACAGCAAAAAAAGTACAATATGGCTTTAATTGTGCAGATAACTCAAGTTTAGCCCAAGGAGCCCTGGAGGCTCTTTACCAACACGGGTAAATTGACACTTTGTCATAGAGCACAAGAATCACTCTTGCAAAAAAAAAATGTAAGAAGTCCCTTTTGGCTTTGGCTTACAAACTTAGCCTCGGTCAAAATGTTTTGATTTAGGATAGGATGGAGAAGAATTTGAACTTGTTAGTTTTTCACTACTTTCATTACTCTCTTTGACCCCCCATTAGGATGAGTTCCACACTTTTTTCTTTACCTTGACACCAGGAAGGTAAGGTAGATACACATCCAATAATGGATCCCTTCAATTTTCTGCTTAAAACTGTGTTTTTATTGCTCTATCTGTCCCCATTACAGAGATTTCCCAGTGACAGCCTTTTTGATTATAGGAAAGAGGGGACATCTCTCCAATGGGGGTGATAAAAACTGTACAAAGGTTCTAATCCTCCTCCACTCTATCTGAACCCAATTTTAACTGGTAAGTTGGATTTTAAGCACAAAAACTATCATAACATTTAAGCCTCAATATATATGTGAAAAGCAATGAACTGCAACAGCAACCAGAAATCCTTCATTAGTCTAGCTGCTCTTGCCTTTTCAGTTGAATATCTTAAGTAAAACACTCACGGGTACAGCCGCTCTTCTTGTCAGTTACGATACCCCGGAAGTTCCAAAAACCAGGCTCACATCGGTCACACTTCAATCCCCCTACTCCAGGTTTACAAGAACACTGGCCAGTGGTGGGATCGCAAGAACCCCCGTAGGAGCCATGTTGGTTACATTGGCAGCTGCCTGTACGAAGCAAAATGAAACAGTGTTATTGACTGATAAGGCAATCCTGTCATTTTAATTATCTGTTTTACTGCCAAATGGAATATCCAGCTGGCAGCGAAAGGTAAGAGGACACAGAAAGTTATGCTCTATGTAGAGAGACATTAAATGTTTTAAGTAGCTCCATATGGCCTATTCTGCCACTAGCCTTTCACAGAGTGTTGCTTGTTGAGGGACAGTGACAAGAGGTCACGGCTCCCTCCAGTGTAAAGGTTCTTATGACAGGATTTCTCATGCTGTGTTGTTTAACCTTGTGGAAATCTATTGTCTTCTCACTGCACAAGAAATTAAACTCTGATTTTATAGCTCTTTCAACAATTGTAGACAAGTACAGATGTCATGGCTGTTTTATCAACACTTAGTTGTATTAAAAGAGGAGACTATTGCATGTTTACCGACCACCCTTATAAAACTTAAGAGCTGTATAAGTCTAAAAAGAAAGATATTGTTATAAAAATGAATAGCTAGTGAGATCATAAAATATAAACAATTAAGCTTTTACCTACTTACCTTGTAATAGCAGAGCCCAGTGCCTGACACCCTTTCAAGCAAACATGTGCTTTGCCTATGCAAAGCATAGGAACAGGTTCACTTTAATAACCCCTTCCCAGCAGAACATGCTCAAGAGCAAAGAAAGTACCCAGTACTTTCAGGTATGGAGGACCAAGTGACAGGACTGCTGCTTGGTAATTGGCCCAGTGTTGTCACATTTTGGCAAGGAGAGAATCCTCAGACCTGTGTAAGCTATGACTTGAGAATCTAAGAGCTCCTGATGGCTGAACACTGTTCTGGGGGAACAAAGGAAAGGCATGTACAACTGGGGAGGAGGGCATTAAATGAGATAAAGCTATTTTAGAAATCAGCAGTGTTTAGTGGAGCTGCTCAATAGAGATGGAAACGCCAATGCCTGCCCTTTCCACCCAAAACTCCATATAAGTTTGACCAGACCTATACATGACCCTCCAATATTTGCCACCCATCTCTTTTGGGACCAGCAAAAAAAAAAAAGAAAATCTGCAAAACTGTTCGGAAGTGTGGTGATAACAGGAAGCTGTAATTTTCATATTTTTGCATATTTGGTATTTATATTTTGCAAATCGACTTGTAGGTGCAACCTCTCGTGACTGTATACAAACAAAAAAATCTAACCAGTTAAAGAAAGACAACTGAAAGAAAACCTTTTTACCAGTTAACACAGCTGCAAATTTTACTAGGTTCCAGATTGTGCGCTAAATGATCTGCAAAAGGTTTTGTTCCGCGACACACTCACTTTCAGTTAATTAGTATGGGACACGGGGGGGGTCCAAAGCTTTGTAGTGAGGCAGAAGGGCAACGGAACAGTCATTTCTAGACAGGAAGTATAGTATCGGTACATAATGAGCAATATGACTGCCCATATGTATATGCGTAATTAAAATCTAGAAGCATGACCTTTTTAATGCTCGTTTATCTAAACCAAGAAATAGAAGTAAACAGATTTCTTTAAACTATCAAGCAGGTGACAAGAAGCTAGGAATTGCACAAGGATAATAAGCTGGGCCTCCACCCGCTGTTTACGTTTAGCTAATCTGGTTATTTATCACTGTGCGGAGTACGGCCAAAGAACAAATATTTTCCTAAGAGCGGACAATGTGCCAGCCATGCCGTGAAATGTCACCTCCTACAAGCAAAACTATGACTTATTTAACTGTTGTGCCTTCCGAGTCTGTCGAGCACCGATGGCCGGATCAGTTAGTTCCTCTACGGAAAGGGTTAATGAGTCAAAGCGTACGCTGACGACACAGCAAGCAATATGTCACTGTATTTTTCTGCATTCGAACCACTGCTATTAATAACAGCGCACGGTAACACAGCAGGTGACAACACAGGTCCTGGAACAGCTGGCATAGCCAGCACTGACACAGCAGAGCATCCAAACCAGAAAGAAATGGGGCAACAAGGACAGCAGCTGTCTAATGACAGTCTAACAGGTGCTAGGTAGACAGGCTGACATATAAAAGAGGTTTGTGACCAGGAGAGATTTCTTCGTTTTCTATTGACTTCCCTTTGGAAGGAACACATATCAACAGATAATGTTAGCTGGCAAGTCCATCTGTGACTTCAGCACAATGACAAATCAGCCCACTCAAGTGGGGGAGTGACTGTACCAGTGCTATTTAAAAGTCGCCCTTAAAAAGAACAATTAAGTGACGTTTGTAAAGAGAGCGTCAACACTGTTAATATTCCTTTTAAAGTTTACATTTTTGAACAAAGCTATTTTTATATAATAAAGATCAATGGTTTTTTTTGTTTCGCTTTGCCAAATGTACAATGGTAATACACGGAAATAAGAAAGAAAGCAGAAAAAGTTCTACTATTAATCATTTCTAACCCTAAATTTTCCAAATTCATTTAGCTTATGTTTCCTATGTGTTGCCATAATGCACTGCTTCTGTACCCATCCTATGGGTACAGGCTCAGTGACAGTCAACAGACATGTCTTGCTATACCAGAAAAATAAAGGGCGATTGTAGTCACATTGTTACAGACCTGAAGACAAAAGGTAATTAATAAAAATTTCTACCAAATGCAAAAGGTGACAACTGAATAAAACAAGGTGAAAAAATTTAGTCATACATTACATTTTTGAAATACAAATGTTCATATATCCCTGTAGTAAGATCTAATGTATTTATCCATGAAAAAATAAAGCTCAACTGAACATTCAGTTTGAATCGAAATATGTTTTAGGTGCATCAAAACAAATGTTTTCAAAGTCTTACAGTCTTGTTTTCCGCCACAATTCGCCAGTTCAATTCAATTTCAATTCACTCTTGCCCTTTGTTAGAAACAGTGGACTCTCTGCGGAGGCCTGACACACTCCCTGCTGAGTTAGAAATAGGTATCTCCAATCAGCAGTGATCAGGAGACTTGCCGATTACAAGGCTATAGGTATGACAGCATGCGGCATGCCAAAAGTCTGTGCTTCTACACAGCCTGGCAAGGGAAAGGTTTCACAAACCAAACCACAAGACTTTGAACACCTTTTGTTGTGATGCCTCTGGAATCTATTACGTGGATTTAAACTGAAATTCCTATTGGGCTTTTTAAATCTGTGGTTTTCCATTAAAACTGTACAAACTCTTGATGTATCTATATTGCCAAGTGGAAAGTGTTGGAAATATGCATTTTACTACAAGGGCAATCCTTATGCAAACACTCTTTGAACAGCAGTGAACATCTATAGACATTTCCTCTTAATAAAGTGCAAATATGAACCATTTCATTGGAAATGACATACCTAAAAAAACCTGTACAAACATTTCATTATCCTCATTTTATTTTTAAACTGGAAGAGCAGTATAACTCTCCCAGACAACATGTAAAGTTAAAAAATTTCCCACTGTGTATACTAGGGGAAGCACAGTGGCTCAGTAGATAGCACTTATGCCTTGCAGTACCAGTTTGAATCCTGGCCAGGTTACTACCTACATGGAGTTTGTATGTTCTCCCTGTGCTTGTGCGGGTTTTCTTCAGGCTCTTTTGATAAACATTTTTTTTTTAAATTGCACTTATTCTTTAGGCCCCTTTAAGGTGACGTCAAGGCTCCCTCACTCCCTGTGCACAGATGAATACTATTTAGGAATAAACTATGAACATATGAGGAATGTTTAATAACATGAAAATTGACAGTTTGGGAGGAACATAGAAGGACATTGTAAAGGCTTAGCCCTCCTGCTCATCCTCCCCAGCCCTGCCTTATGGGCCAGCTCAGTGACACACCCTGGGGGACTGACAAAAAGCTGCTGCAATGGCAGCTGTGAAGCTTGTCGTGTCATCCTGAGAAGGCTCCTCATAACATCCACAGAACGCTTTTTGTGCCCTTAAAAGGAGAAGCGCATTACCATCAAGATCCAACCATCTGTCTTACTTTGAGACAGCCACTCAGATCCATCTTCTGTTGCATTGAACTGGACTCTGTTAGAACTTACAAAATCCAGGACTGTTCAAACATCTTAATTGTATTTCCTTTTTATTTTAGCTGCTGCTTCTTTTCTTGTATTAAAGGACGATCTTAGAAATCGTAAATCTTATCTCTATGCTTTAAATAAGAACTTAAAGTATCCTTGTCCCTGTGAAGAGTGCTACAGTATAGTAACCCTGTCATATTCCGGTCTAAGGAGACAGTGGTATCATAGGCTTTGTTTAAATGTTTGAATTGTCACAGCATTTGCTGAGAATGGTGTGTGTTTCCATTAAAACATGTGGTGGCAGCTACTGCTTTGTGTGTAAAGGGTTAACTGTGGTGTTAACCAATTCTAGTGATGCTTGCTCTAAGCCTGCTGGCCTGAGATTGTTGTCCCACAAGCTGGGAAATCTCTGTGCAGGGTGAGGCTGGGAGTGGTATCGCCATGCCCTCGTGACAGCTCAGTTGGTTCGGAACTGCGTATAGTCATGTGTTATTGATGTACAGTGGGGTCAGACCAGCGCATCTATCACAATCAGAACCCAGTAAGTATTCATCTGAGCACAGGGAGCGAGCAGTGACATCACCTTAAGGATAAGTGCACTTTGTTTGAAAGATGCTGGTAGGTTAATTGGCTCCTGTCTACTGGCCCTAGTGCATGTGAAATAGGGACTTTGGGCTTGTATACTCCATGAGGACAGGAACTGATGTGAATTAATAGAATGTAAAGCACTATATAAATACCTGTTAAAAAAAAAAGTGACAAGTCTGTACAGACCTGTACAGGAAAGAAGTTAGATAATAAACACATACACAACATGTATTATTTCACTTTGCAGTGTTAAAATAGCAAACTTTCCAAAACGCTACAAAGTTGTACTTTCAAGAATAATTTCACTTTTAGAAGACCTTAACTTTAATAAATGCAAGTAAATAAAACCTTTTTCCTTGTCCCTTTCCCCTACAGTTTTCTGAAACCTGTACAAAACCATTTAGTCTTGTTGGCTGAGATTCCATTTTGCTTCTAAAAGCTTACTAAGGATAAGGTTGTTTGCATACACAGGGCTCAGTGAACAATGAATTAAATGAACAGAGGCATACTCTGCAGTACAGTAGATGTACCTGCTCTCTAGCATGTGACATGGAGCAGTAGACTCATACAAGTCAATGTGAATGCCTTTTTATTGTAACATGGAAAAACTGCAGTCTTTCTTCCTCTCCTATCCAGAACACAATTCTTTGTGTACATACTTTGCAAATGTCGGTAAAGGCATGTGTTGTGCAGAAATCATATGTTTTCGGATTGCCAGGACTAAATTAACCAGGGCATGTATGAGGAGAAACACAACAGATATCCCTTAATTTTATTACAAAGATGCGCTTACTGTGCTGCTCGGCACTGCAGTAGAGCATGCTAATAGAATGTGTAAATGTATAGCTGATAGGAAAAAATCCATTAACAATGGTTCTTTGAACGCATGTCCTATATTGAAGAGTGAACAACACAAGAGCATCTTACTTGGGCATCCAGCCAGACCCACGCCAAGGGCAGCAGTGACATTGTCGGGACAACATCCATACACCGCATGACTGCAATGTGGGACCACAGGAGGAGAGCTGGTGGAAGCAGCTGTCAAGAAAAAAAAAATGGTATAAGGGCATTGAGGTTGAAAGCACCACAGGAGTTGCATTTCCTTGCAGTAATCCTCTCTCAAGGCTCATTTCACTCTCCGTGGCAGATCGATGTGACAGAACTCAGAATACTTGGCATAACACATGGCAATGTAAAAGCATAGTACACAAAGCACATTTTTCACATTAAAATGATGGAACAGCTACAATTTCACTAAATCAAAAATGCCCTTCGAGATACCAAGGTACTCAACTGTTACAGGGGAAGGAGAAATTTGACTTAACAGAAAGTGGAAACCAGAGACAAATATACTGTATATATTATAGGAGTTGAGACTGAAAACACATAGCAAACTATTCAGTAAAACTGTGATTTGGATTTATTGTAAAGATTACTAGCTCTGTCAAGGCAGTCATTCTTTGAAATGAACCAACAGGAAACAAAATAACACATTGGTTGCTAACTCAAGTTGAATTGCAGATTTAGAAAATTAATAAAATCAATAATATTCAATGAAAAACCTTTGACAAACTTGTGCGTTTAATGAAAAATGCATAAGCAGAGCTTGCCATCAATGAAAACCTCATGGTAAAATTATCAACAGATCTAGAGATATGGCCAACTCGATTTCTATGGACATCTTGATCAAATGTAAAATAGATCAGAGCCTCAGCCAACTCAACCCCTGAGCCTATCTACTGGTCAGCAACGCTGCCCATCATATTTGTCCACCATTAGAAAAGTAAAAGGGGAGGGTCCAATCTTGGCTTTGACAGGAAAAAATGAGATTTCATGTATAAATGTAGCTGCTTTTTATCTTTGGGGATACTGATGATTTTAACATGTAGAAGGTAATCTCGGCTTCTGCATTTTTTTTTCATCTTTCACTTGGCATTGGCTAGGTTTGTGAAAGGGTTACTTTAACAATGGTTAAGAAGATATAATCAATGTCCTGTAAGCTTGTGATTAGGGATGCACAGATACTTTTCGAGTACCATTGCAGATACTTGGCATTTTCACGAGAACTACCAGGGTTGCAGCGGTTGCAGCTGGGACCTGGCTCTGGTGCTCCACCACTGTCCTTAAATCATTGCTCTGTATTGTTTTAGAAAAACTGTCACATGACAATAAACAAAAATGTATTGCCGCCCCGTCGTGATTGGACGGCGGCGGACCGTAGTGTGCGGCCGCCGGACACCTTACACCGGCGCCCGCAACTTCCCCACAAGGTCACCGCTGCCACCCCTCTGCGCTCTGCCGCCCCGAGGCCGGGCCTCGGTGGCCTTGTGGGAAATCCGGGCCTGTTGGTATCTGTGCAACCCTACTTGTGATCATTTAACTTACTAAGATATACATAGATATACGTAGGCCATTTCATGTCACATTGCCATTTTATGTCACTCAGTGATCACTGTACAACATCCACTGGATGTTGATACAGTTTGGAAAGTCAGCTTGACTGCTGGCCCTTTGTATTCATTGGAACTGACCACACTTGTTCATAGCATAGTCTGGTTATGATCTAGGTACAACTGTTTGTGGTATGCTAGGTTCCAAATCTTCTGAGCATTAAAATAAATAAATGCTTGAAGGGCCAGTATGAAAATAGCTCTGGATAATTAAAGGAAAATTACCTGTGTTTGTGTAGTTATATTTAAGTTTGGTTTTTTTCCCCAATACAAGCTGCTGCTGCCCACTTTCTATCCATTTCTGTCCAAATGAAACCTCTGTATGACCTAAGGAAAGGTGTTTGGCCTTCCTCTGACTTATTTAGCTGTACATTTTGAATACCAGATCTAATTACAGCCTTACAACAAGGTCGTAAAATAACTCCATGAGGTGCAGAACTGCACCACCTGCTAGCTAAAGATAAAACATTTAATACTCACCTCACATAAAATAAAACATTAGTACAAATCCTAATTTAAAGAATATATGCAAAAAAACACTATATATTTCCTTCAATCTAAATGGAAAAAATACATACACTGCCATTGTTTACCATCTTCTACTGATCATCTAAAGAGGACCAGTCACAGCTGTTTTGTATCATGGCTAAGTATTGCTTCTTTGGCTCCCTGAGTGTCCAGCCATGGGCATTGCGCTGACTGTACAAACACACTGCATTGGATATTCTTATGCAAGCAACACAGTGTGAACAAGACCTTAGGGAAAGAATACCTCTTGCCCATTTAGCAGCCATTTTGAGGGTTCCTTTTCCTGAGACCAGAGCCTTTTAAGCAACATGCAGCAAAGTGCTAATAGTCTTGTCACTTGATCCTTGGGAATGGATGAACGCATTATTCTATTCACACTAAAATGTGACAAATACTTTCCAATATGGCAAATTTAATGTTCAAGGTGCCACACATGGTGAACAATTCACTCCATAGGATAGGATAACACAAACAGCTGTTGAGTTTCTAAAATTAGCGCATACTATATTAATTAGCTTGCATGTACTGTATATATAATGAGAGTGCATGGTTAAATAAAAGAAGTTCAAAATAAAATAGAATATTGACTACTATAAATGAGTGAACTGCATTCAGCGTTATGTCTTCCTGGAGATGTTCTGTTTCTCATTTGCATAAGCACAAAGACTTGGTAGGAGGCTAAAATCGTTAAGGAAAAAGGTTGATTTATTATAAAGACCAACAACATCTGCATGTTAAACATCAATACAGCCAAATTTAATCTCGCCTCTTGCAGATATACTGTACTATGAAAATGGAGGAAAATCACAATGCAGGTCATGTCAGCCAGAAAAGAGATTTGTTTGCAGGCTGTGGACAACAAATAGACTTTCTCTCTCATCACTTTGAAAGTATGCCACCATTATTCCCCCCTCTGTTATAAATGCAGCAAGCAATGTTCTAAATGCCACAGTTTTATAAACATGCGTTAAAGTGAATGACCCAGAAAACAACACACACCAAGCCCTTCCACATCACTGGTACCGGAGAGTTTCTAGTAAACCAAATGCAGAAAAGAGGTATGCTAAGCCTTGTCTTTGTGCTGCATCACATCAAAGTGATGTGAAGGCAACATCTGAGAGTGTGCGATGCTGAAGTCTCAGTCATTCTGATGCATCTACCACCAGACAAGATTACAGGATGGATGGCGCACACACACTGGGTTCTACTTCACAGCTGGGCTTATGCAACAATATGAATATTTGATCTTATATTATTAGAACTGTGTAACTATCATTATTAAAGATTTACACTTGACCTTTATTTAGGTTTTGTTATTTTTCTGACTTTTCAGTTTGAGATCCCAATGGTCTTATTATTCACATATTGTACTATGTTTATTAGCCTGAAAAAGGGGATGCAGGTCCCCGAAAAAGTTTAAAAATACACAATGTCCCAGTGCTTCTAAGTTGTTGGTGTATTTGTGATTGACCCACATTGTAGGTTTGATCACAACACACAATAAACTGATTGTTAGTTTACTTTCAGAGTCGGGGGTCATTCGAAGTCTAACAGTTGCTGTCCTGTTCACTGCATGACCTTGCACCTCAGAGTATGTAACACTGACAAATTACAGAGCCCTAAAATAAAATTGCATTCCGTTATAACTGTATGTAACACATATGACAGAATTCAGTTTATCAATTCCTTTTTTTTCACATAATTGTATTAATAAAAAACACAAAAAACACTTTCAAGCAGTCCTGGCAGTGTTAATAGATTGTACCAACCCAACCCGTCATTGTCGCTTTTGACAGGACAGCTTGGTCTGCATTTAAATGTGAAGAAATATAAAAAAAGGAAAGTTAAACATAAGGATTTAAAAAAAAAGGATCAATATCCTGAATACTATAATTGTTTTTATTAACTGCGTAGAGTCAACAAATACATTTCACAATAATGGTCCTTTAACAATAGCACACCCCCTTCTCTTTACCTTCTTTTGCATCTCAACAACCAATGCAGGTACTCTCTAATGCTTGATTTTAAAAAGCAGTTGGGGTGCAAGGGTTCATAGACATGCATATTACTACCTGCAAAGGAATTTTGTGTTGTGATCAGAGTACCCCTGCTAGAATCATAGTCATGTTCTGCATTCCCTGTGCCCTGTATGCAGACTATGCATTTGAGCAACACAGGCTAGTCATAACAAACTGATGTTTGTAACTGGACAAAAAAGAAGAAGCACAACATTAATGAAATCCTCCCTGGAGTATATCCTCCTGTAAGCAATAGTGCTGCTTATCTCATGCAGCCTCTAGGCAGCCACTTCTTATTTACATGTATGCATCAATGGCTGGATCAGCTCCTGGATGGTGACAACACAGGAGCCCGAGCATTGGCATAGCAGCTTGTATTCTCAACCTGGGTGCATGTAACAGAGGGACAATGCAGGAGCATAACTGTTAGACAAAGAAAGAGAGTTGTCACCCTTTAAGTGTGTGTGCCTGAACGGAGACATTTATGGCAGAATTACCAAGAGTTATTTCAATAAAAGCTCAAAACGAAAAAAATATTGAAAGTGACTTTTGAAATGTCATCAAAGCAACAGGTCTGAGATTGAGCTATGAAACACCTGGAATGCCACATTCATTGTAAGCAATGCTAACATCATATGACTGGAGACTTGTGTAGAGCAGCTCACATACTATTGGCAGGTGTCTTAGGGAATTTATACTCAAGCCTCTGGATATTTATTGCAGCACAGAGCTCTCGAAGATTGATGGCGTCTCCCTAACATTATTCTATCCAGCTCGTTTCTGTGAGAGAGTGTGACAGTGAGTATATGCAGCTAAATGATATAGCTCTAGGGTAGAATCCTTGCTCAAGCAGCCTTAGAAAGCCATATGGAGAGCCTTGTATACATGTATTGATAGACTTTCATTTGTAGTTCACCACTCTTCCTGGCAGTAATTCTGTAGTAATATACTGTACTAGCCATTTTCTATAAATTCTATGCAGCTCTAGTATGGTATGCATATGTAAGAAAGTTGTGATTGGCTAGAGCCTGCCAAAGTTGACCCTCCGTGTGCCACCCCAATGGGGCATATAATATGTTATTAGCATTATTAGTATATCAGAATTTATATAGATTGTTTCCCTATACCATTTTCTATAGTCATTCTATATTTAGTTCCTATGTTGCCATCTAGTGGCCTTTTGTGGTAGTGTATGTATTTTTCAATGTTGCCTTCCTTGATATCTCTGAGGTCGATGACACATTTCCTCTTATGTAAGCCCCACCCTTCTTCCTGAGTGCAGTGCTTCCTGTGTCATGGCCACAGCTAACAGGCCACATGTAACTAGGACACATGTACTCTACATAGTACGCTAGAAAAGGCATAATTTTTTGACCGCAATAATACTGAAAACCATCCATCTGCTGTATCCTGTTGTTTGATGTGCAGAATAAAGCAATCTTTCTGGATGAAACGGTATTGGTGAGTTCAGCTATCTGACAAGGATTGTCCGCAGTGATTATATCTGCTTATACAGGCCCGGCATAGAGGTCTCACAAGGGATAAATCGCTATCACAACAATCGGAGTCAGAATACTCCTTCCAATCCAATGTTTGTGTGCATGAAGTTTAAAGACCATCTCCAGGCAAGTGTTTGTAACTGGACAAAAAAGAAGAAGCACAACATTAATGAAATCCTCCCTGGAGTATATCCTCCTGTAAGCAATAGTGCTGCTTATCTCATGCAGCCTCTAGGCAGCCACTTCTTATTTACATGTATGCATCAATGGCTGGATCAGCTCCTGGATGGTGACAACACAGGAGCCCGAGCATTGGCATAGCAGCTTGTATTCTCAACCTGGGTGCATGTAACAGAGGGACAATGCAGGAGCATAACTGTTAGACAAAGAAAGAGAGTTGTCACCCTTTAAGTGTGTGTGCCTGAACGGAGACATTTATGGCAGAATTACCAAGAGTTATTTCAATAAAAGCTCAAAACGAAAAAAATATTGAAAGTGACTTTTGAAATGTCATCAAAGCAACAGGTCTGAGATTGAGCTATGAAACACCTGGAATGCCACATTCATTGTAAGCAATGCTAACATCATATGACTGGAGACTTGTGTAGAGCAGCTCACATACTATTGGCAGGTGTCTTAGGGAATTTATACTCAAGCCTCTGGATATTTATTGCAGCACAGAGCTCTCGAAGATTGATGGCGTCTCCCTAACATTATTCTATCCAGCTCGTTTCTGTGAGAGAGTGTGACAGTGAGTATATGCAGCTAAATGATATAGCTCTAGGGTAGAATCCTTGCTCAAGCAGCCTTAGAAAGCCATATGGAGAGCCTTGTATACATGTATTGATAGACTTTCATTTGTAGTTCACCACTCTTCCTGGCAGTAATTCTGTAGTAATATACTGTACTAGCCATTTTCTATAAATTCTAGGCAGCTCTAGTATGGTATGCATATGTAAGAAAGTTGTGATTGGCTAGAGCCTGCCAAAGTTGACCCTCCGTGTGCCACCCCAATGGGGCATATAATATGTTATTAGCATTATTAGTATATCAGAATTTATATAGATTGTTTCCCTATACCATTTTCTATAGTCATTCTATATTTAGTTCCTATGTTGCCATCTAGTGGCCTTTTGTGGTAGTGTATGTATTTTTCAATGTTGCCTTCCTTGATATCTCTGAGGTCGATGACACATTTCCTCTTATGTAAGCCCCACCCTTCTTCCTGAGTGCAGTGCTTCCTGTGTCATGGCCACAGCTAACAGGCCACATGTAACTAGGACACATGTACTCTACATAGTACGCTAGAAAAGGCATAATTTTTTGACCGCAATAATACTGAAAACCATCCATCTGCTGTATCCTGTTGTTTGATGTGCAGAATAAAGCAATCTTTCTGGATGAAACGGTATTGGTGAGTTCAGCTATCTGACAAGGATTGTCCGCAGTGATTATATCTGCTTATACAGGCCCGGCATAGAGGTCTCACAAGGGATAAATCGCTATCACAACAATCGGAGTCAGAATACTCCTTCCAATCCAATGTTTGTGTGCATGAAGTTTAAAGACCATCTCCAGGCAAGTCTTTTTTTTTGGTTGGGGTGTAACTCTTTGCCCACCCCTCTAAAGAACCCTTGTTTTTTTTCTTTCATAACTTAATCCTCAACTTTTTCTGTGAAATCTGGGTAATGTCATAGTCCAGTGCCCTGATCTTCGACTTCTAGCAGCAAAGGTAGGAGGAGTCTACAGTGCACGCTACATGACATTGGCGCACTTTGCAGCACTAGAGGGGACAGTCATTCTGCACACAATTAGCCAGTTGTGGTGAATGGTTTCCTCATCAGGAAATGCTGCGGCTACAACAGTTAGTAGGCGGAATTTCCAGAAAAAGAAGCCAGTAACTGCAAGTGCCCGAACAACAAAGCTGAGGAGCTTGCTTAAAGGAGAACTATGGGGTTCTATCTTTTCTTTATTAATGCATTCCTTAGGCTAAATAAGTAAATGATGTAATTTACTCTAATTAGCCAAAATGCACAATAAGGCTGTAAAACCTCATTTAAGGTGGTGGGCGGGGCTAAGCGCCGCAATGAGGAGACATCCCGACGTGTCTGACGGGATACTACCCACTGATCTTCCTCACTGTGACTATGAGCTGGCATTTCACAGCTGTGCACGATGAGAGGAAGCGCGGCCACAGCAATGAGATGAGTTGAAAAAAAAGCCGTGGGCGGGCTGGATCAAATGTTAACGCCCCCTAAGAGAAACGGAGCTTGGAGCTGGGTTGAAGACGGCCATTTACTACAGGTTTTGAGGGTTTTATCTGTGATGTGCTGCGACTTTAGAAAAAAGGAACGATGCTACTACAATCAAGGTAAGGGGTATTTTTATTTGCCCTTAAGTCATAGCTCTCCTTTAATTTTTTTTCCTGCCAGGTAAATAACTTAAGTTCCTAGGGCTTTGTGCTTGTGTCGATGGCATCAGTTTGATTTCAGTTTGAGATGCTTCTAAATCATTCAGCTGACCTCCTTCTGACCTGCTTCTGGACTAGTATAGGAATGCAGAACCCACTTGATGAAGTGAAACTTCAGGCAGAGACAGTGGGATAAATGTTTTAACAAATGATAACCCCTTATTATTTTTTACTAAAGTGTGATTCGTTTTACGACATGCTTCCTTGGGTATCAGTGAAGTCTCCCCTGTAAATGGTACCACTCACTCCCTGGGTGTCACCTAATTTCCAGCTCCTGAGCCATTGTTGGAGTCTCCAGTAAAAAGAAAAGCAAGAAAAGAAGAGTGTACCTGGGCATGTTATGGGCCCTATTATTACTTCTCATTATACGAAAGCCCTAACTTAAAACAGCCATTCTTGACTCTCATGCACCTCTCTAACGTTAATTTATAATTAAAAGACATGGGTGGTTGGCTGAATTATTGGCTATTTAAACTGACCTACCTTTTAGTATGTTGGAAGGGCTAGCGGTACAAGGACAAATAGGATTCCTATTGCAGCAAATTTACAATAATGTGTATTAGAACGCTATCAAATTCTGTATGTGTTCTAACATATTTAGCATACTGCACCAGGCACATTTAAAAAAATAAAAGGCTTTTAGTTAAAAAAGTTATGATTTTTCTTGTACAAAATGAATTCCCCGTTCTGTAGTAAAAAGTGTTTCCATTAACAAGAGCAGCTCGGCAGGCGCCAGAGGTTATAACTGGCTGATAACTTTGACCTAGAAAATTATTGGCACACAGTTACCAATTGACTGAAAACACATCATAAATTTTAATGAGTCAATCTCATCCAAACTGTACATATTAAAGATCTATAAAGAAGACATTATGCTAATTCAACTTGGTTTAATAAGACAATTGCCAATGGGCAAAATTAGGGGTGTTTAGGTAAAATCTAATGGCATTGTCTTTGCTGGCTATAGACAGGCAGATGTCACCCTAAAACTGTGACTAGGGGTTTTACATGTGCTTTCTCTATAATGCCAGATCTGCTATTGTTTTTTCTGCAACTTGTCCAAAACACACATGATAAACACTATTCTTTCAGACTGGATCCTAGGGTTTTGCTGCACTTTGCAAAAATTTTTTTTATCTTGCTGTTTATAGAAAAACGCAGTTTGTGTGGGTATTTCAAGGGTGTAAAATGTGTTAGGGTGTATTTACATTTTTCAATTAATATTTGATAGATGTGTAAAAAAAATATAAGCTTTATGTAAATGTTCCTAATTGGTGCTTATGTTTTAAAAAACCTTCTTTCTACTGTATGTATACAGTATAATACCAATTATCTGGCATTCAAGCAACCAGAACTCTCAAGCAAGCAGAAAAAAAAAATCGAGAACATAATAGGCCCTAAATATTTATATTATTTTTTGCCAGTGCTTTGCTAATAGAATTCTCAGTTTACATCTTGCTGCGGCCGAAGGCTAGATTCCTCAGTTGACAGGTGAATGTAAACAACAGGCAGTGGGCGTTTACAATAGCCAGCCTACTATTGGCTATGGCAACTTGAAATAGCCAATAGCAGAATTTAACCAGCAGATAGGGCAGGGGTTGTTGCTTGAGAGTTTCTGGTTGCTTGAGAGTTACCCAATGGGTACTGAATAACTGGGAGTTTACGGTATTTTAAAATGCTATGTATACATTTAGGCAGCCATATGTGTTGATTACAGATAAAGGCTCTGGTTTCGGCTCTGAAGCGTTTTACAATGGTTGCCTTACTGCTCCTTCTCACAATACAGTCACTAAAGTCTATGAAGTCACTGGATTCACTGAAGCCCATGCATCTGATATGTGGATGATATTTCAACATTTGTTGAGAAGGGAGACTGATTGCGGTAGCTAGCCTACCCTGCCTCTACATTTATTAGCTGAAGAAATGAGCATGAACAATGTGAAAATCAAAGCACAAATTAGTTTAGGGTAAACATGGGAATTATAACTCAAAATATGTACTTACTGGAACTCCACTTTACTTTTCTTTAACTGGAATGGTGGTCTAAACATTCAGCAATCCTTCTGCTTTCTGCCTAGACTTTTTGCTGCTTACAATCCGCACAAGTGTCAGGCACGAGAAGTCGCCTGCTGGGAATTCTCTGACAAAGGCCATACAGGAGATTTTGGAGAAGAACGACATGGGATTTTTAGATCACAGAACTGCTGGACTTGGGGAAAGAGGCAAGTCATCCACACAGCTCTGAATTCGGAAGTTCCTATTTAACGTTTTTTTCTGGCATTTTTGTTCTAACTGTATATATATATATATATATACACACACACACATATACACACACAAACACACAGTAGAAATTTGGAGTATCTTTTTTTTCTTTTTTTTAATAAAGGATACACATATCCCTCTGGTCCAACCGCCCTACTGTTTACAGAGCATATACCCTTAACCCTGTAATTCTGATACTGTCCTGCCTCCTGCTGATGTCTGGGCTACAATTTAAAAGCCTCACATACTGGTAATGCCTGTCCAATTAAACTCACTCCTTTTTATTTCTTTATAGTTCCAACTACTCCTCCTCATATTATGATTTGTAATTGATGTGTGCTAGGAAATGCATTAAAACACCTTTCCCTCGGAGAAAATGCTGCTTTCTGCCCTCACAGTGGTGGACTATGCAGACATTGCTGAGTAATGGCCACGCCCCTCAGCACAAGTGTCCTCATACAGACTTGTATTGCAGAGAATCGAAGGGGGCGTGTCTGTTATATTACAGGGTGCACTAATTCTGGTGCCTACCGAATCATATTTAGACACCTCGCGCAGCTGCTGTAGCAGCAAAGTGGAGGTAAGACTTTAAAAATGGACATTGAACAATGTCTGTCTGACTGCATAGCTATTTCTTTGACCTCATCTGGGCTAAAAGGAGGAGAAAATGAGATGTGGAGTCTGAAACTAGGAAAACCAAAATATCCAACTATAAAGAACTAGCAGTAGAGGGAACATCAAGGAGGGATGAAAGTAAAAGCCGCTGAAAAGGATTTACTATCGCAGGACAAGAACACAACCAGCACATCTATAAAACAATTATATTTCCTTTTTGCTGTCTGTGGAATACCAATAACACTGAATGACCTCTGTGGTGAACTTTGTATTCCCGATATAAACCTTCAAATATCATTAAAACAATCTTGAATATTTGCAAACTTCACAGCTCATTCCCTGAAGTTATTCTGCCATTGATTCTCCATTTAAATCACACATACTTGTCAGTGTTAAATGGTCCAAGAAAACTTAGTGATCAGGCCGTCCTGACATTATCTGCCTGTGCAGTTAAATATTACATTTTATATTTAAAGCCTTTTCGGTTATATAAGCCTCTCATATGCTTACCACCATTTGTCAGCTGTATGACAATAATCCAAATCCTGTAGTGATTTATGTGCCAAGAGACTCTGCTCAGGAATTTGCAAGTCTTGTAAATGGTCAGAGATCTTATCGTAGATCAGAGGAAATCATGAGGGAATACAACATCCCAGTAGGAAAGGGATTAGAGGAAACTGTAAAATTATAATAATCCTGTCTCTCACCTCGGCAGGGACCTTGCGCTGCCACGAAGAGGTCTTGGCGTCTCTCACAGCGAGTTTTCTTAAGTTCACACTCATTGGAATAGGTAGTACCATCAGAACCACACACCTGCAGCAGAAAAAATAGATGAACAAAGTCAAGATGTTTAAAGGCCTTTAAGTTTCTTTGCTTTAGCAGCATTAATGGGAAACTATAATGCTTCTGAATAATTTGAGTTATGTTTAAAGCTGAACTCCCGGCACATATAAATAAGAAAAGCTCATGAGGCTCTGTATTAGTACTTAATTCTTCATAAATGCAAACAGTCACTCAATTTGACTTAGTATCAGCCTCTTGCAAGCCCCTGTACAGCAGAACTCAGAATGGCTGCCTCTGTCTAACTGAAAGTCCAGTTGTTATGTATCTTAAATCAGAATTACCGGATTCCTCAGCACAGCATGGCAGGTGAAATCGCAGACACAGCGATCATCCTCTGCATCCTCATCCCATGAGCCTCCGTAGCGTCTACAACGATCTTGTTCACACTCACTGTCTTCTCCAGACCCAGACCCAGCCATAGCCGAACCACATTCTGCAAAAGAGAATAAAATGTTCAACTTTTTAGTTCTGTTTCTCTATTATGGACACATATTTGTAGATAACAAAATTCAGCAAGGGAACTGTAGAGAGTAGGGAAGTCAGGGGTACATGAGAGCAGTCCGATTGCTGCTTATATTTTAGGAAACCATCTATCCATCTCCTCTCTCTCTGTAATGTCCAAACATAGCTCTGCATATAACATATACAGCATGCTGACTCCAGTAGTGTATACTTAGTTTCTCACTAAATTAATTGCATGGTACAAGGGGTGATGCTTGAACCAAAGGTTGCTATTATTCACATACACCTAGGGCATGATATTAAAAAAACATTAATACTGCACATAATTATTCTCCTAGCACAGCTAAATTATATAGTTATTGCTCAATACAGGCAAAAAAAATTTGAATTAAAAAAAAGCGTTACAAAATGTCTACCTATTGATCCACAAGCAACAAATTCAATAATTAGTCTTTTAATATCTTGAGAAAAGGCAACTTGATGAAAAGCTAATACTACAATTTGAAAGATGGAAGCCATTTGCCTCAGTACAAACTGGTGGCAATTAGTAAAATTAGTGGTTGATTCATTAATTCCTCCACCAACCCCGCTAGACTGAATTGTAGCGATCCCTTCTGAACACAGTTTAATTTCTGTGTGGACATGAAAAGGATGGAACTCTTGTGGGCTGGAGGTATCCACCCCTTCAAACACAGTGTGCTTGGAATAGGTTAATTGAGGCTGTGAAATCAGTGAATGAATATGAGCGGCTGTAGTGACCAATCAAATCTCTCTTCAGAGGCTGTGGGCTCGCACAACCTTTAATTATAAATAAACAGGTGCATTCAAGCACTCAGGCACACAAGATGAGCAAGCTCAGACCTGTCACAGCTGCTCTTTATATAATCCGCCAGTCTGTTATTGTTATTCCCCGACTCCGTTTAAACTTTCCCTTCTGAGCTGCATTAAGAAACTTTTAGCAGAAGAGAAACCTGTCGACTCGCCGGGGGAAAGTCATCTGGAGTCAATGGGTCACTGTATAATGCAGTCCTCTTATGAGAAGCAGTGTATTATTATACGGACGTCAGATCGGCATTCACATGGAAATTACAAGGGAGGAAATAGAACTTTGCCGTTGTCAGTTTGTGTGAGAAGACTACAATAGGTTAAGTGGCATGGGCAAGATTTTTTTTTTCTTTTTAACATAAACACAGCATTCTTATGCAAAGCCTATGATGGTCTCAGTCTTGACCAACTCCCTGATCACTTTAATTCCCTGCCAGCAGTCGCTGAACACACAATGTAGAGTACTTCACTGGCATCAATTGGACATTTGAGTCTTAAAGAAAAACTCTGCTCACCTCTATTCGCATTTAAAAAGGTCAGGTACTGTAAAACCAACATACAGCGTAACCACTTGATAAAACTCTGTTCTAAACTGACAAAAATCTGTAGATTTACACCAGTTACCTTTCTCCCGATTCTGCTTGTGCTGTCTATGCAGGAATTATGTTACCATTCTTCCAACAATATCCTGCGGAAGGCCAAGTAACCCAGATCTGCCTAGGTAACATACCAACACAGTGAAGGAACATCTTCTCATGAGTTTTGGGCTACTCAGCATTCCCGGGGATCCCACTTGGAAGGATGGCCAAGCCATCCCTGTCTAGGTGCCACAGACAGAAGCGGGGGAATGGTAAGTATGTTAACTTTTTCCCCCCACAGGTTTTTCTTTTAGAGCAGCCTTTAGTGAGGGGCTTCTCACTAAGGGGACCTTGCTTTTCAAGTAAATGACTACTTTAATAAATTAGGACAGGTGTGTAAACATGCCTACTGTCCACGTACTTCCTGAAAAAAAGGGGGATTCTCTTTCATGAACCAGTAGGAGCATTCCTTCCCATGTTTCATGTGTCATTCATGCTAATAAAATAGTAGGGATGGACATGGAAATGGCATTGTCCCCACTAATTTCAAATGATCTTAGAATGGGGTGCAGAAAAGTAACAATTTATTCTGGTTATGTGTTGCTTAAATGATAAGCTAAATTGAAAATGTTTGCCCTTGCAGCCTGCACAAGCTGAAAACAAATTATAAATGGGTTATTCTTAAGAGGCCTACAGAGTGTGTTTGCCCAATCCAGCTGTTTACGATATGATCAGGGAATGTTTGTATGTTTGTAGGCCTCTCTGTGATTCTATACGAGCCTTCATAAGGGGAAATGGATTGGCAGATCATGTTTGTTTCCACTGAAACATCCCTCAATGACATAGATCCCCCTACTTCTTCCATAGGCACAAACATGTACATTTGCCTGATGTGAACCTAAATGTTTTCAGAAAGATGATTGGGCAGCCAGGTTGTGTCTAATGTCTTTAGGAAGCTTTAAAGATCTAAACAGCTCTGCCATTAGAATCTACAGAAAAGTCTTTGTTTAGTTCAGACAGATACAGCTTGTTTGATACTTCCGCAGAATACACACTGAAATAACTACAGCACAGTGGGTGTTTTTCAAAGTATGTTTTTACTTTATAGTAATAATTAGAAACGTAGTGATTCCTGTGACACCAATGAAGCGAATATTCTGGGACTGGGGAATCAGATACGGAGAGGACCTGAAGTGTGAAATGAAAGCGTCACTCTTTCAATCCTCCACGGTTTATTTACGTAAAGCGATCACCAGTTATCAGGAGATAAAAGCAAGGGATGCCGATAAAAGAGCCTCTTTCAAGTCTATACGGATACAACCGCATCCTCTCTGGCGCACCCCCACCACCACTTCCATACTCCATTCCTTCATATATCCCTGCCTCATCCGAGCCATGCTGTGTTAATGAACTCATGGTAATTACTCTTGCACTGAATACGAGACGGGATATTAAAGGCTCTGCTCATAACTGATCGCCCGAACGCCGGAATCACCCCCCGAGCGTTGCTAGGAGACTAGTCAAATATACCCTTATTATCTGGCACTGTGCAGCTCTCCCGAGGAACACAGAGATAAAGGACAGAAACGTTCATCCTCAGCACTTTCAATGCGATGTCTAATACAACAGGAGGATTAAATTGAAATCATTGCTGCTCTGTCACCCAGTGGTGGCACTCAGAACAAGCATACATGGGCGATGTGTGCTTTCTAGAGGATCCCGAAAACCAGGATACACAGAGGCTTTCTATTTATTTCCTTTAATCTAAAATGAGTTTTCTAATCCTACAAGGTACATCTAAATGTGGTGGATTAGTCATTCAGCCTACCGACTAAAGAGACGGTTTTACTTCAAAAACAGCCAAGTGAAATAAAACATGGGGATTGATGTTTAAATTGGAATTTGCAGGCAAGCAGTTTTTACTTTGCACAAAAAATAAAACTCTATTTTAAAGCGAACCTGTCAAAATGCAAAACATGGGAATGGTGATAGCTTGCTTTGTTTGATCTTGTGAGGACCTAAAATATCGGCCTCACAAGCTCATGTTAACTCTTAAGAGTGCATCTATAATCAACATTTTAGAGTAGGGAAGGATTAGAACCCTTGTCAGGCTTTTGCTGCTGTATGCATCTCCGTTAGGAAGAATCACTCCCTTCATTCCTTCTTGTGACCGCTGAACATTGTGATGGGAAATACAAAATATTGAATTTGTCACTGGAAGAATAGTTGGGGTGAAATCTTCCAAAGGGTACAGTTGTTCTGGTTACAACAAGTAGTTGTACTTGTTGTAGTCTAAAACTGTACATAAATAATAATAATAATTATTATCCTGCACTAAGGGTTCTACCAATTACTCTATCCAAAACTAAGAAAAGCTGAAGCATATTGTAAGTAAAAAAAAGAAAGACAATAGGCTGGATTGCAATAGGAAAAAAGAAGCCAGTCCAATAGCATTTTCTGTACTGGCATAGCCCCTATACAGGTGTTTGCTTGCCTTTGATCAATTCACTATCCCTTTGATTTACCACAAGAGCATAAAAGGTTGTAGCTGGGCCCCTTAAACATCCACTGGGCCCTAGGCTCCTGTCCAGGTTGATAAAAGACTGATGTTTTAGAGACGTGCATCAAAGCAATTTGACATACCAACGAAAAGCTGTACTTGTTGCACGTCACATTCTCTCTTGTCTGTGAATCTTGCTGTTAAGAACAGTTCAACTTGACAAGTTATAAAACAAAGCTTACCTCACTGAGCACTCTGAAGGGCTCCGCAGACAGCTTGCCCTAAAGAAGTTGGATCTTTCTGTGTAAATGACTGCCTTCTTAAGGCTATTGGCAACCTTACAGTCAACGTTCAGGGCAGCCATTATGCAAGGTGAAAAAGTAGTATCAGGCGTACCCTGAAGAGATTTTCGCTTTGTCCCAGCTGCCTCCTGCTAGTATGTACACTGGCAAAACATAACAAATGATTCAGCGTCTGTATGTTGTTTCAGCACGGTTGCTGTTTTTCTGACATTATAAAGGCGTTTTAAGATGTTACCAGTGATTAGCAGAGTTTTTCTTTAAGCTTTTTATAAAGATACAATGCCTGGATTAACTATTCTAGCAGTAACACCATACGATATTACATTTTTGGTAACATTCATCAGTCTAAAGCAGACATTCTCAACCAGGCATCCATGGAACCCCAGGGTTCCTCCAGACGTTGCTAGGGGTTACTGAGCTGTGGCTGACTGACCTCCCATTTAATGGTGCCTGCATAGTCCTGCGGCCAATACTGCTTGAAAGAGACAGCAGCATGACATCAATGATCTTTTGAGCTGTCTGTAAAGGTGGCATTCTTCCAACTGACCACCAATGTAAGGTGCATTTTCCCACTAGGAAAACCTTTGATTAATTGATTTTCTTAGGGGTTGCCCTAGACCTGAAATTATTTCAACGGTTCCCTTGGGGTAAAAAAAGGGTTGGGAATGTCTGTCCTACAGTGAGTAGCTTAAATGGAAAATGTCCTGTTAAAGAAAATGTTTCAAAAACCAGAGAACAATTGGATAGAAGCCAACAGCAGCGGAGACTGCTGCTGTTTAAACAGCCTTTGGAAAGCCAGCGTCTAAACTCTCACATTGGTTTTAAAAGCCATCAATCTTTCCTAATGTGGTAGTAATCACCCTTAATAACCCTCAATCACTTGAAGACATAACTGCGCTTATAACTTCTGGGCCTGGGAAAGGCTGCCATCGACACTTCATGAAGGGCACGCGTAGCAGAGGAGGATGTTTGCCAGTGTCTTACTTACACCTCTGGGGAAGAGGCTTGGAGCTGGCAATGATAAAAATAATTTGCTTCTTTAATTCGAACAGGAATCAATGCCCTTCCAAGTGGTTCACACACAGGTGCTACTTAACAGGTGCAGTGTAAACACCAGCTGCCAGAACCCTCTGCAGCCTGCACACACCTTCCTGTGCCAAACAAGTGCATAATAAATGGATTTTGGGCAGGATAGAGATGTGCAGTGTCAACATTTAAAAACTGGTGTAAAATATTAAAAGGTATAATCTAGTAAAAAATGAAAATTAAGAACTAGGCAGCATGCAGGAAAAAAGTCTACCTGCTTAATGCTTCACTTTTCCATCAATCACAAGGGAGTCCACCCCACAGGCTTTTGACTGTAATCTGGTTACCTGAGAAATCCTGCTTGGTAAACACACAATACATTCCAAAAATATACACACTACAGGCATGTTACTATTTTTACCATATAGAAAGCCTGAAGAAAGATAGAGCAGCTCATTGAATAAGACAAGACAATTCAGTAACCCATAGAACTCAAACTGAAAGGTCAAAGTTAATTTATGGTTATAGGTTACTGAACTGTATCAAACTTTGTGCTGGCCCAGGTCCTCATTACATTTACCGCTTGAGTGTTGCATTTGTGCAGTGATTCTAAGATGAAGCCATATTTTGCTTCATGCTGTCATTCGAACATGGACCCATACATTGTTTCATGCAGTCATTCTAACATGGACCCATGCTTTGCTTCATGCAGTCATTCTAACATGGGCCCATACTTTGTTTCATGCAGTCATTCTAACATGGACCCATGCTTTGCTTCATGCAGTCATTCTAACATGGGCCCATACTTTGCTTCATGCTGTCATTCTAACATGGGCCCATACTTTGCTTCATGCTGTCATTGAACATGGACCCATGCTTTGCTTCATGCAGTCATTCTAACATGGGCCCATACTTTGTTTCATGCTGTCATTCGAACATGGACCCATGCTTTGCTTCCTGCAGTCATTCTAACATGGGCCCATACTATGGCCTAATGTTTTTGTTATGTTTCTCTAGGCATGGGATTCTCAATACTCGAGTTCTACTTTACTGATTGTTCTAGAATCAGATGCTCCTGTGTCATTACCTTTATATTAATATACATCTATTTGCAATATTTTGACTTTTGACAATTTTGTGCCATCTATTAAAAAGAGATGGACTTGTGCTGACCTAAAGGAGAACTATGAGGTGAGTGAAAATCAATCATCCTCATAGTTTAAGCCGACGTGTGACAGTTTCGTTGGCTCAATAGATCGGGAAGTGAGTGAACACATACCGTTGCTCGCTCACTTCTCGATCATCTCCCTGCAGAGAGCGGTGACCGTCATTCACCGTTCCCCGCAAGGAATTCCCTCCCCGCTCCGATCCTCCAGCGCTGACTGGAAGAACGGACGGGGTGGGTGGATCTCGACAGCATTGTCGGGATCTGTCCTGGCTGTGGCTGTCTCAGTATACCGCAAATTGTAGCTTGCTATATACTGAGCTTTGGGTCATGTGAGGACGCTAGTATATGTCCTCCCATGACCCTTAAGAGAACTATGGGGAAAACACTTACCCCATTGTAATCTTTTAAGTAGATTTAAAGCCAATCAGTAAAATCTCATATAAGCTTTATGTTAATGTAATTTTACATTTGTTTTCAAAATGTATAAAAGTGTATCTTTCATTTAAAAGAATACCTGGTGACTTTTGTTCAGGCACTTTCTGGTTAAAGGAGAACTATGAGGTGAGTGCTTTTCACTCACCTCATAGTTCTAGCCGACTTGTGACAATGAGACTGTCACAGGTTGGCTCAGTAGATCGGGAGGTGAGCGAACATATACCGGCGTTCGCTCACCTCTCGATCCTGTCACAGCTCTCTGCCGTGACAGGGGAGGGGCTGGATTCCCCACTCCCCGCTCCGCCAGCGCTGACTGGTGGATTCCCTAAGGAGAACTATGGAGAAAAGCCTTAACCTCATAGTTCTCCTTTAAGGGTGACAACTCTTTCCCAGCTGTTCTCCTGTACTGTCAACCCACAACAAGCAGTCACAACTTGTGTGAGTGCATGTAGACAGGAAATGGTTTAAATAAGCTAGAGGAGATCAACACCACAGAGATGAAACAAATGAGAAAAGTTGAAAACAATATTTTATTCAGAAAGAGGGAAATTGTTAATGAAACACAGCGGTTTAGTAAACAAAATGTGTTCAAGTACGGGTTAAGATGTACTTTAAGCTTCAAAACATATTAGGAGCAGAGGTAAATCAACACTTCCCATTAGTTGAATGGTGAGACTAGCACTTCCTACAAGGCATTATCATCGTTAAACGTAATGCTATCACTTTGTTGACTGAATGGAATAACGTACTGCACTGATGTCAAAGAACTAAACAGAACCTGTTACAGCAATGAATAGTTATGTAAATTATATCTGAGAAACAGTCAGAATAATACAGGGCTGTAAAGCTTTGGTCACATTATAACAGTCACAATGTTTTGCCATGGTATGAAGCTAGCATGAACATCAAGCGCTGTTGTGCTAGCTATTCCAATCAGATTTTCCAATCATTCTCACATGTAGCAATAAAAAAAGGAAAGCCCTTGTAAGATATTGTTCCTGAGATCAGGTGCCGTGACCATCCCTAGAAGCAGCTGCCGAGATTAATTGATTGAAAAGGCTGTCCATTTCCAGAGATAAAATGAAAAGCTTCTACACATTGAACCCACACTAATCAGTTGTTTTAACAGAATGGCAACTCTAAAGTACCACTGCTTGACTTTCTTGAGCTGCCGTTGGTAGCCCATTTTTTTTTCAATAGTTTCCATGGCAGACCTGTGCCTGTGTGATGCAGAACAAGCTGAAGGCAATGGGGGATGTTTATCAATTCTCTTGCATGGCAAACCAATGCTAACAGAAGCAGTAAGACAGATCATGCAACCGATTTACTACAAGGTTACATTGAGTCAAACTATGTTGCTCTAAAGTCACACTGAGACAGAACAAAATCTAACCCTAACCACTTCTTAATTATTCATTTGTTTAGAGTGAAAACATCTTCAGGAATAATTCTGTATCAGAACTTTACAAACTTGAACTTGGCTGCCCAAGAGTACGGACAAACAGGTCTGTACACCTGTCACAAAATCATTGCTGAAGGAGATATTTGGAAAAGTGGAAAGAAAGCACTGGACCCATGTGGTTATTCTCTTGGGGTTCCTCATCCAAGAGTAGTTAAGAGATGTGAATATGTGTGATATGGCTGACTGATAGGCAGCTTCCACAAGCCAAAGAATCTCTACAGTATCCTTGGCTCAACAATGAAGCATGACACCAACTAAAATAGTCCAGATGCAACTTTATTCCATTAGGGTAAGGCACATTCAAGTAGAGTAGTCAATGTGTTTCAGAGTTCGACAATATATGCAGATATCTCATCGCACATCTAACTGGTATATCCCCTGTCGTCTCTTGGCAGGCACTGTAATGACAAGCGGATGATGTCAAAAAACAACAACATGGGAGCCACCAGCTCACTGTCATCTTCATAATAAAAACACCTTTATTGAAGTTTAATTGATCACATCACAGAAAAAAATAAATGTTTTGGAACTATGCAGGGTCCCTTCATCAGGTAAAGTGATGATGTGGGTCCAAAACACCCCCTCCATCCGGACTTAATGAGAGAAATTATTTGTGCACTACAATTCCTGCAGCTTAAAAGTTGTATGGAGTTGTGATTGGAGTACCTCAGCAGCTGGTTCAGGGGCGGGTGGTGTTTTGGACCCCCAAAATGTAATGCTTACTCTACTTGACTGCCCCTGACGCTAATAGAAAACATTTGTATCTGGATTCATTTAAATGATGTGGTGCTTAAATTCCTACATCTACTTTGTTGATTTTTGACTAATTGTGTCACTAATTTGATTGATTAATGTCCCCCAATGAGTTTCTGAAGCTGGGCTATTATGTCTAGAGAGAGCTGAGCAGCACTGCTAATATTGCTGCTCAGACAGGGTTCTTAACAGGACACTATTGCTAATGTAGAGGTTTTCTATCCTTTAAAAAATGTCCTCTTTGAGGACTCGCTCTGACCTTGCATGTGTGTTACCAAGAGCTGTGTTAAAACAGAGGTTTCAATTCATCTCTTGTGTTATGTTTTTTATGAAAGAATAAAGAAAGTTCGGATATAGCTGTTTAGAGGTCATTCAGATTTTGTATATAGTGGCTGTCAGTAAACGAGCACCTGGCAAGCAAGCATGGACTAACTAGGAGTGACTCTGCTTTTCATACCATGTTAAAACAGACCTATTAGTAACTTTTTAAGTCTCCATGAATACATTCCTGACAGGTCATAATATACAACAACTTAACTACTCAATAAAACTGAACAACAATTATTATTTAAAGCAGTTCTTGAGCTCCATTCAATTGGTGTGCCTTGAACCCCAAAGTAGTATCTTGAGCGAAAATTGATATCAGCTCACTGCAGGCAGAAGAAAATCAGTGATCACTCACTGGGACTATTGTAACATTTTGACTCAGCAGCAGAAGGTTGGTCTGTTTGTTCACACATCCAAAAACATAAATACTGCTGCACCAGTATTTGTGCAATTACATGATTTCTCAGTTAGCAGGTCCTTGGAAGATGCCTGAGCAAATATGGCAACAACTTTCTGAGTAGAAAGGAATATGAAAGTCATTGTTGCAGTGATCTCTGCGAAATGTAATAGCTGCAAGTAATACTCAATAAGTAGAACCCATGTATGCAATAAACAGGAAAAATATTTTTTTCAGCTATGTTCCCTTTTAATATTTTGACATAGGCTTTTAGTAGGTCATGCTGCATTGTTAAAAATATCTCATCCAGCTGAATGGCAGAATGCAGCCAAGACCCAAAAACAGTAGCAGTCGAAGTTTACCAATCCACGCCAAAGCATTATGTAAATGGCAAAAGCATCTTTTTTTTAATCCAATCAGTATAATTTTTTCTTTCTCCCCAATAACAAAACGCCTGGTAAACACACACCTTTAAAAAGCTCAGAAGAGAAGAAAACAGAACTTCATTCACATAGAACTCTCACACAAGCACATTTCCCCCATAGATTACATTACTTTTTAACAGGCACATGTGCTTGCCCGAGTCAGTCGCTTTTGCCTTGACTACTAGAACAAGCTACATGATTGTATTCAGCATAAGTATCATAAAAATAAACTCAAACTAATGTTATAAATATTTAACACATATTTTGGTTTAATTACTTGCATGTGAACACTTTTGCAAATTATGGAATGTTTCCTTTGCAAAGCAGCTGAGCACACTCTAGTAGTGTTGATGTGTCAGCAAACCAGAAACAAAAGCCAGTGTTGGTGTAAATCCCAAATTATCAGTGCACCTGCACAGCTTCTCTGCGAAAACAAATTATGATAGCAGAAAAATCCTAATGTCTTTATTCTGATCCCTGTGCATCTAATCGTGTCATGGAGGCAGAGAGACTGTCAGAGTAACATGCAACTAATAGGAAAGAGACAGAAGATATCTTGAGGAAGACACACAGGGACAGCCTACACCAAGCTGAGCTAAAGGTCGAGTTGTGTTCTAAATGAAAAGGAGCCCATAAACAGGCCCACGCTTAGACATAGTAAACTGTTAAGCTTAACTGATTACCTCAGTAAGAGGTGAAAGTTACTGTTGTAGCCAAAAATTACAGGATTCTTATACTTCCCTTGACATCTGTTTCTTGGAGTTCATTAAGGAACGCAGAGTGCTGCCTACAAGATGACTCTTCCTACTCCCATCATGCTTCAGTTTTATATCAAATCAAACTTTGGAGTAGATATCAAACACAAAGTGGAGGGACCTGTGTTCTTCAAAGAACTTGAGGAGAGTAAAGAACAAAATTCTTGTTTTATTTACTTGTTTATTAAGGGACACAGGATCAGAGGTAAGGTGGAGGCTTTGCAAATCTGAGAGACAGATTCCGGATGCCGATAGGCCCAAGAAGCACTGAACAGTGAGGGCCACCTTACCATCTTGTCTTGAATTGTATTGTAATTATAATGTCTTCCCTATATTGTAAAGCGCTGTGCAAACTATTGGTGTTATATAAATCCTGTATAATAATAATAATAATAATAAACCTGGTAGAGCATGCCTTGATAGGAAAAGACACAACCTTTTGATTTTAAGCCTATAAGCATGTATGATGATATGTCTGAGTGACTGAAATGGTGGAATGAGAAGCTGGTTCATTTTTTGCATGTTGTTTCGCAATACAACATTTTAGGCAAAGCAGTCTCCGCATATTAACAGACAATAGACTCATTTGGCTAATGTGATGGCCAATATCAACTATCCTATCAACACAACAGTGTAATGCAGCAGGCATATACGCTTTAAGCACTTTATAACAGAATAGTCAATAAGGATAGTATCGAGTTCCTTGGACTTATACTTCGTTAATCCCCCTGATGCATGACGGATTGGCATGACAGCTATGGCTGGTTGCCTAGCCGGACCAGCCAGGGAGAATAACGGTTTGGAAAGCGCCTCTAGATGTTTGGCAACCTGATCTGTAAAGGCAGGGGCATCCTCAATTGGGACTGTCAGTGTTTATTAAGACAGAAAATGGCTGTTTCCACAGTGAGAACAGTCCACTTCTTAATAAAAGCTTTCTCTCGCACATATTCAAAAGAAAATAAATATCTAGAAAAACGGTTAATATTTTCTCCAAAGAGAAAAGATGTTCATCCTCCTAGGACACGAGCAAAAAACTGAAGCATGGTGGGAGGGGTTATAACTGACTGGCTAACAGCTTTTTTGTTGCTAGTGTCCACTTCCTTGTGTAGGCAGCAGTATAACCCATATGTTCAGGAATTACTTCTGATTCGGATGGTCATTACACAGAAACGGTGCAAGATTCCGTCATCAGATGACTAAATTTGGATTAGATGTAAATCAGTATAGTGTTTTTTTTTTCACTGGGTGCATATATTCAATTATTATTGTAGAGTTTACTTTACTACTAATTTCAATAATTTCAATGGGATTTTCACAGGTTGCTGCTTCACATTCTGCTGAGTTTGCCTGGGTTGAAGATCAATTGAAAACTTTTTTGACCATGCAAAGACTCTGCAACATACTTCTAAATATTATCTATTACTACTTTAATATTGTCCTGGATTTGTTTGCTTAATGTTAGACCTACAAGAAATGCTTTGCACTGAGGCAATGTGTAAGCTGCAGAACAAGTTTGGCTGGCTGGCTGTCATGCTGATCCAATAGATTCAATGCTTTTTAAGCTACTGGCCGGTAACAAGCTGTTCGGACTTCACATGTTTGTTCTGGGTCTGTGATTTAGAAAATAGGGAAGCCAGTGCTGGACAGGCAATCTGAATTTAGGAGAGGCTACATATTTCTCTACATATTTTGGTACAGGTTTTTCTTTAATAGTAATATCTATGGCTATAACAGGGTTACATAGCTAACTTTAGACGAGCTGAGGAAAATAAACAACAGATGGTCAGATAGAGAGACAGACAGACAAATAAAGGACAACAGACGCTTGATAGAGCAACTTTAATATATTTTAAAAAGTTGTTTAAGAATCTGTGACTAAGTACAGAATGCATTATCCCAGCCAATCAGATGCCACCTTTTATCAGATCAGGGCAGCAAATGAAAGAAGATTGGCGACAGATTTCTGGGAATACAGTACTGGGCTCTTTGAATTAAATTAGTTTGCTGCCTGGCATACACTTGCATTACCACTAAAAATTTCTACTTTGTGATGTCACAGCTCACAGAAATATCAACCTGAAGCTAATGAAAACACCAAGATAAATCCCAGAAGTACAAGCAATTTGTACTGAGCATTTCTGTCTGCTGGTGAAATCAGTTTAAAATTATTGTAATTAATTTAATGAAGGTCATCAGCCACTGAGATTTTCTGGCATTTCAGACATAGCAGTTTTAGAAAGCAAATACAAAGTGGAACCTTTGCTGACTGAATGGCATACAGCTTTCTGCACCGCCAGTAATAGGCAACCTCTACCTCTAATATTCACTTTTACATAAATGGAATCGGTATACTAAATGTATATTTTGCACTTCATATACATTTTCTCCTTAGTGTAAGAAGCCCATGGATATTAGATACCTCTGTCCATGATAACTGGTAGTAAGATGGAACGGATGATCTGTGAGTGAGCACAATAAGAGGAAGACAAAGTAATAGATTGGGGGAGTAAGACATTTTAGGATGGGATGCAAGACTACCTGGACACACTGACAGCCAAGACCTTTTTACAATAAAAGAACCTTGTCTTAATGCAATTTTTTCCTCCACCGGCGGGCTGAACGAGAACAATCTATGCATGTAGGGCTATCCTTGGACTGGGAAGGATGTTTTTTAATGTCTGTGGTTGCTTTTAATGGCTAACAAGTACAATGGCATACAACCCAGATCCAAAACTACGTAACCAATTTATAAATTGGCCAAATTATTTTAAAAAGTATATTTATTAACACATTTTACATTCTTTATTGTCAAAGTTCAAAAATAACTAAAACCCAGTTTTGTCAATTTATTAATAATTTTTCTCTGTATTTTGAACTCCAGTCTGACTGAACTCCAGTAAGACCGCATAAATATTCACATTCTACCCCTCTTTTTACCAATATGTAAAAAGGGGCAACATTTTGCAGCTAAACAGAAAACCAATTACCACCATTTGTAAATAGACCGTTAACTTTGTACAGGTTTTGTTTTTTTGTACGCAGCAATATTCTTTGAACTTTATAATAAAAATACATATTAGATAATGTGCATATACTGGTCATGTTTTTGCTACCTCTTCTACACTGCTATTAACTTCTATAGTGTAGCAATGCGGAGATGACAATAATATTTAGGTCTAGTGTATGAAAAGTGTGTTAATAAGAAAATACCTTTTTGCTCACAGCAATGAATCAGAATTCTTGTTTCAATTCAGCTATGGGCTGCAGAAATGCTCAAAGCAGATTGGTTGCATCAGGCAACTAATCTTACTTGTAGCGCACTATATCAGCACCGTGTGAGATAATACTCAGGAGCCAGACAGCAGGGCTTCAAAATGCTCCAGCTGTGAAATCAATGCATACATTGTTTCCCAAAACATTATTTACTAAACCACTTCACTGAAATGTGGAGCTGTTTGATTTCACTGAGCGTCGTAACTTGTAATCGCAGAAAAAGGCAATTGCCAGTGTCTTTTGTCATGTTTGAGTATGTAAATTAAAAGGGACGGTTACTTTGGGATCCCGGACAGTTCCTCTTGTCAAATGCTGTATTGTCTAACTTTCTTCGATTATTCCTTTTCCCAGGCTACAATATGTAATATGTTATGTTGTCTTTTTTAAAAAAAAAGGTACTGCCATACAATTCAAATTTTTCTTTGTTGCAACCATGGCAACACTACGTACTTGATGCAAAACATAATTACTCCAAATTCTCATCCCTCTGCTTCATAATTGGTTCACTGCTTTTCACAGAAGTCTGCATGGAGCATGTCGTCAAATTAAAGCAGTGACCTGCACTACAAGTTTCATCTTTATTGAGATACTGGCAAAGGTGGTGCACATCAACAGGTAGGCAAGGGGAATCCTATGTGCTTACTGCAACAATGTGACCAACTGGGATTACAAAAAGTAGAAAGAACTTCCCACTTAGCTCTAATATTCAGCATTTGCACCATCAGATCATATGTCAATATATGAGAGCAGCAGCAGGTAATAATTTCCAATGAAATGTTCTATGGTTCTTGGATTATATAGTATAAAGCTGGCATGGAGAGGATTTTCTCCCAAAACTGGAGTTTATTGCCCAGCTGAAGTCAAAGAAATAGACATGTATTCTTACAAGCATTATACTAGCAACCTACATTTTTATAGTCTTACAACAGCTGTGCAGGGTGTCTAAATATGACCGTGCAGTCAAATAGGCATCAAAGTTAGAACCCATGATGCATTTTTCTAGGAGTACATCATAACATGCAGACTTGGTAATTCTTAGACCACTGGGTTATGTTGCTACCTTCAGTTTTGAAACAAGTAATACAGGAGTGTTCATAGAAACAGAGTGGAGGGGACTATATCCTGTGATGTGATTTTACAGGTAAGACAAAAATCCTATTGTCATAATCGTACTTGACAGGACACAGGTTTGTTAATTCGGATACCACTGGGGCATCCTAAAGCAGTTCATCTGAGGGGTGAGCAACACATCCGACGTGCTGGCTGCCGCTGTCAAAATATCCGAACACAGCTGGCAGCTCATTGTTCAGGTTGTTGAAACTGTCACAGCCAGCGCTCCAATAAAACCCCAATAAGACAAGGGAAGCAAACATCACCCTGGGCCCCAGAGTTACCCATGCAGGCATAATGTCTTCCAGGCAGAGGATGTTCGGGACAAGCCCAATTCACAAACCTTGCCCTCCTGCTGGTCATACCCCCGTAAGCGGTCTTCAGGGACAGGGCTCTACCTGCAGAAGGGCCATGGTCCTGGGCCTGTATACCACCCAGCAGCTAACTCATTGTGATTCAAGGTAAACACCCCATGTAGTAACCAGTGCCTGAAGCAATGTTACAGGCCAGACCGGCATCTTCTCCCAGGCAGGGTCCAGGTACAATCCCCAAGGTTCAGCTGAGGAGCAACTGATTAGGAAAGCTGCAAATCTACGGAAGCCACAGTAGCTATAGTGCAGTTGAAGACTTGCTAGAACTGAAACATTTGTGTAAGCTCTCTCAGTAGAGAGAAGCAAATCTATCATCTAAAGAAACTAGCGAAAAAATTAGGCATGCTGGACATGGGAAGGGTTTTGCAGGGCTGTCTTTACAGCTCGTGTCCAATCACCTGAAGGTACCAGCATAACCCAATGGTATAAGTATTACCAAGCATGTATTCTGTCATGTACGATTAATAAAAGTAGCTTTGCACATGATGACAAACTTATGGGTGTGCTGACGACATATCTTTCTAGAGTTAGACCCAGGTCACTTGGCAATGTAACAGAGCTGGTCAGGCACACAAATTACCATCTCCACAATACAAGTCTGTGTGAAGACACTTGGGTTTAGAGGTGTGGCTGTTCCTTAGATCTGCCAGCACAGACCACTGCAGTGTGAGGGCTGGAAACAGGTATTTTAAAGCATTTCCTAACCAAAATCAGTCACAAATCATAACATGCATGGATACAGGAATATAAAGAGATAAAAAAGGTATGCAACTTTGATTGGGCTTTAAATTCTAACTTTAACTTTCTAACTTTAGAACAGTCAGATCACATCACGTGTGCCAACTCACAACTATGGTGTCTGGGTATATTTACCAATGATTCAGACTACACTGCCAGAAAGATTAGTGTTGTCCAAAATACACACAGATGCTTTGTAGTTACAGACAGGTGTCTGCCCTTATAGCAGCCTGTATATAGATGTGGGAGCCTTTTCTGGAACAGCACAATGATAAGTTATATTTTGCTAGTTTCTCTTTTCCTTTTTACTGGATTTTGTCTGTTTTAACTGGTATCACTGAAAAAGAGTATTCTACAGGAAATTAATGGTTTAAGGAGCAGTCTCCAAACACATAGTGGTGAAAATAAGAACAGTTGAAGTGCTAGATAGACAATTTAATTTCTTCTTTACGTGTATCTACATGATTCTCCAACTCAGATAATACCAAAGTGTGACCAAAATCTGACCCGATTTACAAGCTATCTGATTTGTATGCCTGCTCCTTTCCTTTTTAATAAGAAATAACAACAGGAAAAAATAGACTGGGAAATTGGATTACCGTCTTCACAGGACCCTGCCCGAGCCACATCTATTTTCTTCTTCTGCTTGCAGGATGCAGCTTGCAGCTCACACTGGTTGTCATAAGTGACTCCATCACTACCACACACTGGTAGGTAAGGCTGGCGCTCACAAGGCTGACACACGCACTTGTTGTTTACGCACTTGGCACCAAAGCCGCAGATGGTGTTTCCACAGGTTTCTAGAAGAGAGCAAGACAAATGCCATAGTGAAAAATCCCGGCACATGCAATGTTTTGTTTTATACCTTAAAAGAAGAGCCACCAACATAAAAGGTATTGAAATCTGATAACCATTTGTGATTAATGTATTCAATTTTCCAAAGCACATATGACTTTCCATGTATGATCCCTGTGACACAGTCCCTGTAATTTCCAGGTAGGTCTGGGTGGACGCTTACATGTGGTAAAGACCCCTGCACTCCCATGTGATAGTACTCGGATCTAGGGATTAGCTTCTTTGTAGCAGGAAGGAGAGTTAGATGAGACATGGGAGTAAGAAAAAGCTTGGTTTTAGCAGTGGAGGGAGCAGACTATTAAGCTAGCATGTTACTCTGTCTTGAATGGGAAAAGCACAGGTTTGCTGTTAGCAAGACACAACTTGAACTGAACCTCTCATAACAGAAATATTTGTTCCATTTGCATCTAGCTTCAATACTTCAGAATCGTGGAACCAGAACAAAAAAAGCAGCAAATAAGAGTTAAAGTGATATTGAAGTCAAAAGGTGTTTAAGCGATATCAAATTATGTTTAGATAAATTACAATGGATGCTGCTTCTTGATGTTTAAAAGTTTTAGCTCCCTGCAGAATCAGCTGGTCTCCTTAACACTGGTCCTGATATCCCATTTTGGGGTGGTTCCTTTCATTTGCAGGGTCCTATGGTGTCACCCTTGTGTGTGCTGGTAAGCTGTATGTGTCTCCACAAACACACACAGGCATAGCAAAGCAAGCCACTCTCCTGTTCTCTGTTCCTGCTTCCTCCCTTCTCCAAGCTAGTAGATGGAGACTGTGCTGTCCCTTGTGATTCTGTACTGGACAGGTAGTTTAGGGAAGGTGAACTGAGAGAGCTGGAGCCAACAGTTTGGAAACATGATGACTGTGTTTGTGCACAAATGAAAATGTAAAAAAAAAATTATATAGATATATCTATATATATCTATATAGATATATAGATATATATACACACATATATTACAACAGCCAGCAGGCTCTCTTGCAGTTTCTTACGTATGGAAAGTCTGATATAAACAAAATGTCAGTACCAAGATGCTTCTCACTGCCACCAATCAAACCTGCCTTGGATGTCTGACTATGACACAGGAAACAGAGTGAGCGGAAAGTACACAGCTAAGGTGTCAGAAAATACAATTGTGGTGACCGTGCAAACTGCACTCTGCATTTTGGCTTCAGCAGAATAAAGAAAACTCAGACTAAGGTAGACACAGCAGACTTCATTATTTCAACACAGCTGTAGTGTTTGCTGGATAACATCAGCAGCTTACAGGCTTACAGGTTTTACATGTTGCCTGGAATTGTTCTTTAAATTCAAATGTGCACTATGTTAACTTTGAAACTAAATGCAGGCAGAATCAATGTGCTTCTAAGAGTACATCAGGGAGGGGTTAGTATCTTTTGTCTACATTACTCGTTCTCTCATTCCTCTTGTTCACTATAACCTGCCTGGCTACTGGGCTACAAGGGCAGAACTGGGAAAACCTGGCCTGCACATTAACGAAGTTCACCAGATGGTATTCCCAGTTCTGCCCTTGCAGCCCAGTAGCCAGGCAGGTTATACAGAACAAGAGTCAAAAGGTATGACTTTGCCTGGAAAAAAAAAAAAAGAGTAGCCATGGCCAGGTAAGTTGCGTCTCCTTTATTTTAAGGCATTACATTCAATTCGGACCGGACGACATCCTCTGGCTCACTAGCAATTCTGTTGCTGGTGACAGTTGACTAGTGACAGTCCACTCACCTTCAATGGTGTGGGTCCCTTGCTGGCTGCTCTGTTGCGGCTTCCTCCTGCAGTATTTTGGCCAGTAAGGGAGTAATATTCAGTAGGTAAAGTGACAGTTCCACCTTAGTGATCATGCCACTGAGAGCTTTTCAAAAGTATAGGAATTATACTTTTAAATTATGTAGGGAAGCTCTCAGAATAAAGCAGAGGGAGCTGCATCACAGCCATAGTACTAGTACTGACAAGGAAAGGAGAGGGAGGAGGGGGAGCTCGCTTACTGCACCATATACTGTTGTGAGGAGCTGGCACAAATTTTTGAACCAACTGGGGTCCATGCTACAAGTTTAGCAATACGTTCTGGGGTCATGGGCCTTGTAAAGAGCAGTCCAGTTGAGGACATAAGGATGTGACTCGTGTTCTATGTACTGTAACAGTAAGAGATAAAAGTTCCCTTCCCTTGCAGGTATAATCATTCAAAATAATAAAGTACACAACCATTCTGAACTGCTCGCATAGCACTGGAAATGAATAGAAACTCCATCAAAGCTTGCCTACAATAAATGAAAAGTAAATGTAGCTCTGGGAATTTTCTGTCAATTTATCTGCTGAATGCCAAACCCTAAAAAACAAAAACTTTTTTTTTTTTCCTTAAATAATTCTCGAGAGAACATTACAATTCCGAATTGAGTAACAAATATGTAAAAGTGGGTTCCCTTTGTAGAAAGATGAAAAATTACAGGTCTTGATAACACTACATTTTAATGTTCACATTACAACTAGCAAATCAAGAAACTGGGGCAATTTGGAGGTAACACTAACACAATCAACCCAATTCTTTGATTGTTGGAAATCTATTTGTCTTTGCTATTTATAAACTACCCAGAATGTTCAGTTTGAAATTGATACTATGGTGATTTATGCCACATGTATGTGTTCTCTTCTGAAGCTGAGAGGTTTATAAATAAATGTGTAAAGAAACGCGCTCACTTCTCTCTGCATTATTTTTACCTATTAATGCCAAAGTGAATTCTCAAAATGTATGAGCATTTTATGCTGAAGCAAGTTGAAAAATGAAACGCTGTATTTTTCTCTCAATGCAATGTTCGGAGGTAGGAGCTTTTGACTATTGTTCAAGCAAACCTCCAGGCAAAAGTGTAAATACACACATAAAACACATATAGGACCTGTACACAACCGTACAGCATGCACATCTGTGCAGAAACCTGTGCTTGAAAGTGACAGCTGGTGCATGCAGCCGCCTGTACAATTAAATTACAGAATGCAAATGCACGCTGCTACAGGCTGACCCGAAGTTGCACATCCGCACGGGTATGGATGCATGCCCCTGGATGCAGAAGTTTATGTCTAGGGGTGTACATCTATAACTGTATGGATGTGTAACTTTGGGTTGGCATGTAGCAGTGTGGTCACCTGTACGACTCTGACAGTAGGCGGCAGTATCAGCTGTCACTCCTGAGTGCAGGTTTCCTCACAGGAGTGCATGCTGTATGGCTGTGCATATCCCTGTGAATGGGGCCATAAAGAGAGCTGTTTTTACATACCGTATCAAAATATTGATCTTCACTCTGCAAAGCTACACCACCCAATGAAACTTCAAATCCAACACACTTCTGGATGTGTTGCACACCTGAGGCTCCCGTAACCTTCTGTGTTTTCTCCTGCCACCCCTTTGTCACTACAGGACACAGTAGTAGGGTTGGGTGAAGGAATTTCAGGAGAAAGTGACTGAAGTTGGGACAAACTGGGACACTGCAAGGGTACGTGAACAATTGCGGCAACTGTGTGTTTTTTTTCTCAGACGTACCTTAAACCATGTAAATTGTTGCTGCAATTGCTCACACACCCTTACAGTTTTAATGTTTGTCCCAACTTCTGTCACTGTCCTTTTTTGGGCAGCTAAACCGGAAGTTAAATGTGGAGAAAATGTAAAAAAAGACTTGTGAAGTAATTAAAGAATACATTGAATGTTATGACTACAGGTGCATGCATTTTTCAGAATACAAACTTTTTTTTAGATAGCAGACCTTTAACAGCAATTACTTTGCAAATGCAATTAAAATCATTATCAGGCTCCCTCATAAACATACTGTATATGCAAAACTGTCAGGAAGCTTTGATCAAAAAATGAAGACTTTTTTTCAAATCCAAAGGAGACTGATTATTTGTTATTTTAGGAAATAAACTATTTCCCCCAAGGCTGAGAAATGTTCCTCAGGCTCCCACCGTAAGACTACAAAAAGTACATTGTGAGGACTTTTAAGGTGGAGAGGTCCCCTCCTGGTTTTTACTTTGCTCTCTTATCACAACCCACTCATTCAAACCCACCCCCCTTGCTTGCTGTCCCCCATGCTTGACTGCTATTCCATCTCTGCTGTCACACTGCCAACTATCCTTGACTGAGTTGCAATCCCGTTGGGAAGCAGAGGAGATGCAGAAAGTCTGTCTTTTGGTAAACTGACTGTATGTTATGACCATAGCCAATTGTACTGTTTCCAGGAAAGTTTCAGAAGTCCAGTGATGGATTTCACTTGCTGCCCAGGGATTTATTTTCAACTAATGGTAAAGACAGTTATTACAAAGAGTGGACCCGACTCTTCTTCAGCAATGTACAGTCTGTATAGGGGAAGGTGTTTTTTACACCAGTGTCTCCATTCTTTATTCAGAATTGGGGAACAGAATTCCACTTTAAAAAGCCATGATTTACCTACATTAACAGCACATTTACATGCATACATGGAAAGTGAATTTAAATACTGCATTTGAAAAAGGTAACAATTTAACATTTAAAAAGTAACTCCCCTTTTGCTCATGACTGATGCCATTTGTACTAAAATAAATCAAACAAGCATTTCATCCATTTCCTGCAGTGTAAGTCATGAGTTTAGTCTCAGTGTTGTTGTTTAAGAGAAACTGTTGAGGACAGCAGTGATGTAATCACTTAAGCAGAGAATTAGGTTTTAGGCAAATTCTATACATCAAAATTGTACAGAAACATACATGGAAGCCATGATTTTGGTGAGTTTTAGAACAGCAAAGTTAGTTGTGGATAAACCAGAAAGGTAATTGTTATTAACACTCAATTACAAAAATGTAGGGTTTTTTTTTGTATGTCAACTATGTCATTTATTTTTGTGTCAACTATATGTCATATCCATAGGTGGAGCTACCTTTAAAGCCTTTTTTCCTTAACTTACTGCAGTCTCCTTGCGCTGCCACCTGTAGGTTAACTTGTTGAGTGCAGGTCCGCACATTGAGCTCACATTCACTTCCATAAGTATTGCCGTCAGTCCCGCACACAGGTTGAGCCGAGGGTACACATTCTGTTGGGCACACGCAGCGGCCAGTCTCTGCTTCGCAAATGGCTCCAAACTGACACTTCCGGCAGCGATCTGCAACAAAAAACATTTTTTTAAAAAGTGTAAGACGAGCTTTAACTATCCCCCACTCCGTATTCCAGCTGCATTGTGCATGTCATTTGTCTGTCCTCTCATGAAAGCTTAGATGCACCTGCACCCATTTTAATTAACTGACCTGCCATCCCAGCACTAATACATCAGATGCCATTAACTCAACACAGTGTCCTTGGGTGCTCTGACAAGGTCAAAGGGTGTAGAAAAGGACAACGGCATGAAAAACTAGAGCTCATTGTAACAGAGGTGACTCATTTACTTTATCAAATCCTTTCTGTAATATGCCTGGAAGGGGAAAATGTCACTTTTCATGCAAATTCTGAAAGGAATGGGTGAGGGAATTTTAACAGATCTTCCTGTGCTGCATTTTCATTGTGTAAAAAAACATTTCGGAGGCTCGGCAAGCAGGCAGCGCTCATTCTGTGCAAAGTTTAATTCTCGCTTGAAAGCTAGTTGCCTTCTGGTTGGTTCTCAACTAAATCCAAACTTTTGCCCCAAGCAAATATGTTCCAGCTTTCAACTTCATTTTTTTGTAATTGAAAATACAATTCATTTATAAAAATATTCATTTATTTTCTTTGCTTCATGAAGCAAAAATGTTTATAGCGTCTGGAATGCAGCGAACAAATAAATATAAAAGAGGAACGCTCATGAAATGGAAACGATACGGTGCCTGGCATCAAGATTTTAATAAAAGAGATAGGTATCTGAAATAATGCCTTGGTATTAAAAGGAATATACACCCGGTTTTTAATGAAATTTAGTCAAATACATTGTGGAAAACAATTTGTTTGTACGTACACATTATTAATAAGCGTAGTACCTGCCATGCTTTTGAATCAAACCTAGCATACTTGATGCATGCCCTGCCACCAAGTGTGAGATGCCACAAAAAGGCATTGTACCAAAAAGCAGCTTTTGGTTGCCCATATAGTAATTATTGAGCTTAAAAGCTTAGTGGACATAATAGTCCTAATAACTAAAGTTGTGTTGTGTATAAGAAAGACTTGTGTCCCTTATGAGCAGTAAAAAGTAGTTTGAGATAAAAGTCGATCTTAAACCTGTATATACAATCCCATGTTCCAACATTAGGGGGGTTTTTTATGCCTTGCTCTCAAACTATCCTAACCCGCTTGGAAGTGCCTATATTTGTTCGTAGCTTCTTTGTTTTTGTTGATTGCCACCCTTTAAGGTTCCAACAACAGGAACTGCCCCCCACCCAAAGCTGGGAAAGTAGAGATGTTTGCGACCAAGATATGCCCAACATTCTCAGTGCCTCTTTCTGTTTACTTTGAATGGTATTTCCACTTTCGCAGCCAAATTGGGATAACACCTACTTTATATTTGTTACGTGATGTTGATACATTGTTGTATCATCAGCTTTGTCAGACTCACTCCCTATTTCCCCAAAATGCACTGACTAAACTATGCTGCTACTAGTATGCAAATCTTTACTTTGAGGTCAAACACCACAATGGTGACTCAAATTATATTACCTCAGAAAATACACTACACCTTGCTAATTAGGTCCTTGCTAATAAACTAGTGAATGGGTTTTAAATACAGCTAGCTTAAATACATGACTCTGTCTTATTATCACCTTCCTGTAACCTGCTGCACAGAAGCACTCAATCAGGGGCAGAAGAAATGGTGCACTGTGCCAGGCTCTATTACTTTGATCAGTGCTTTCAGTGAAAACGCTTACAGTAGGGATTAGCACAGGGATGGCCTCATCAGTGTGCTGCTACTTCTCTATTGCCAAATCACTGACTGTGGTGTGACCTGGACCAGGCTGCATTGCCTAACTGCAGTGTGATCTATGGGGAGGTAGCATAATCTATGTATTTCATCTGTGTATTTATAGGTTTCCCTGGAGTTTAGCTTTAAACAACCTTTATTATAAACTGAGCTGTCACGTGTTTAAATGTGAATAAAGAATTATGACTTTTTTAAGGTATGGTTTATTATCGTTAATAACTGTATTAAAGTGCATAGCTAGCAGTTTAAAAAGGAAACTAGAGCTGCAATAATTATTCGATTAAGTTGATTAAAATCGACGATGGAAAACGTTGTCAACGTTTTCCATCGTCGATTCGTCGGCTAAAATTAAAATTTTCCCACTCGCCGCTGCACGCCACGCCCACGTTGGTTAAGCCGCTTGCGCCTACGCTGGTATACCCGCTCACGCGACGCCGCTTACGCCCACGCTGACGACATGCGTCTGGCCCTCTCCTCCCGGTGAGCTTCCCGACTCGCCGCTTTATAATGTATTATTGCTGGGATTTGTAGTTCCTCTATAACTGGTCAGTGGTAATCTGCATTGTGCAGTATAATCATTATACAGCGCAATGGAGAATACCACCAGCCATGAAGGACTACAAATCCCAGCAATAGTACATTATAGTATAATGTATATAGTATATTATAGTATTCCTATATAGCTGCTGGTATTCTGCATTTCGCCGTATAATCATTTTACAGCGCACTGCAGAATGCCACCAGCTATAGAGGACTACAAATCCCAGCAATAATACATTATATACAGCGCAATGCAGAATAACCCCAGCTACAGAGGACTACAAATCCCAGCAATAGTACCAGTGGCGGACGTAAGGAACAAAGGACCCTGGTGCAAGATTTTTTTTGCCCCCCTCCCCCCCCAAAAATACACAAACACAGTGCTCTCCTCCCGCAGCGCTGGGCCGGCTGTCACTTTTTCTCCTCCCCGCTGGGACACAAAGCAGAGCCCAGCGGGGAGGAAAGAAAGCAGGGATGCGCTGCTGTATCAACAGAAAAATGGCACTTTTGGCATTTATCTGCTGATATATCGGCCGATATCTTTTGGCGGCCGATATATCGGTGCAACCCTAATATTTACAGCAATGCAGAATGGCACAGGCTATAGAGGACTACACATCCCAACAATACTTTATATAACAATAGCATTTCTGTATAAAGTACTGCTGAGATTTGTAGTCCTCTATAGAGGGTGTCATTCTGCATTGCTGCAACAGTACTTTGTACAACATTAGGCTACAAATAATTATTATTTTAATGAATTATTTACCTGCACCTCTTCTTTCTGGTCTTCTGTCTTCATCTGTTTCTCTATACATTGCCCCCCCCTCTCTCTATACATTGCCCCCCTCTGAGAGGGGGAGGGGGGCAATGTATATAGAGAGGTGTCCTCTCTGTATACATTGTGGCGCAGAGATGGGGGGCCCGCTGGCCGCTGGGTACCGATCCGGCGCTGGGACTGTGCTTGGCCCCCCACAGGCCAAAGGCTCTGGTGCGCCAGCACCGGCGGTAGTTCCGCCACTGAATAGTACATTATAGTATAATGTACTATTGCTGCATGCCTCTATAGCTGCTGGTATTCTGCACTGCGCCGCTGTATAATGTACTATATTGCACATATTTTAGGAGTTTAGAGGGTCCCCCTTTCTCAGGGACAAAATAGTCCTAATAACTAAAGTCCTAAAATTAATAACAAAAGTTGTGTTGTGTTTAAGAGAGACTTGAGTCCCTTACAGGCAGTAAAAAGTAGAATATACTGTATATGTTTGGGATAAAAGTCTATCTGGAACCTGTATATACAATCAATCTAATCCTAATTAGGGCTTGGTACTGTTGAACAAAGTGTATAATGGACTGATAGAATTGGAGGGATCCGGAGGGGTAATTAGTCTGATGATTGCTCCAGATGTCTCCTGGGAAATCTGCTTCTTGGGAGAATCAGCCCCTCTATACCGCCAAAGATTATATTCACACTGTTCCGTATACATGCGGCGTGCCTTGTAACACCCACATGTAGGTGTGAATGGGCGCATATAGTTTCTCTTTACCTTTTAAACAAAATTGCACTGCATAGATGTGAACCAGCCCAAATGGAAAGAATAGGCTTTTTACTTGAAATGCATTTGTATACAGTAAAATGCATGTGTTTTGTTGCATCAAAATGGACTAGAGTGACCTTGGCCCTTAGACCTGCCTGAGAACACCTACTGCTTTAAGAGATCCGGCGCCCCACACCTTCTTTCTACTTCATTATGTCTTTATTGGTGTCTGTGTCCTTGCTGGGGAGATTCACCCTATTTGTCCTGTGACCATTGGGACACAAAGTGATGGAAAATCCAATATATACAAGATCCAAGATGCACTGATATTATAAAGAAGGGGGCCTTAAGTACTGCCAAGGGCCCACAGTATTCTTAATTCATCAATAAACGGCACACTCTTCCAAGTGGGAGCAATGATTTCTATGCTCTTGCTATAAAAAACACATATACAGCATGCAGAGGAAATCAGCTTCTTATATACAGGGCTCCAGAAACAATCCCTCTCATATAAACCACTCATAATGCATCCACTGATAAGACAGTATAAGCAGCAGAGGCACTGGATCATATAGATTGAAAATGACGGCTAGGTAATGTGCACAGACAGGCAATACAAACGGAACAAATTGCCTATCAGGGAAGAGGCGAGTGTTGTGATAAAAACAAACATGTGTGTGTCCACAGAGTGAGTGTGTGTGCAGGATGTACAGGCACAGAGTGCATTGCACAGGGGCACACAGATACTTATGATGGGGGGAGAAGGGACACAGCTCAGAGCATCCAAAGCTAATAACAGAGCAGAGTCTCTGACCTGTCATTCCCTGACTTTCATTACTTGCAGCACAAAGTACAGACGGAGACCTCATCATTTTACCAGAACCCAGAGCACCTCCTTGCAATAACACAATACCGCACAGAAAGCCAAACTATTAACCATTGCATTCCACCGAACCTCACCAGACACTGACTTCAGAAATCCAACTGTCGTCTGCTAACATTTAGACTAGCTGTGGTGGAACTACACATCCCAGCAAAGGTTACTAATCAGCTTCCTGCAGCTGAAAGCAATTTTCTAATCAAAGCATTATGTGGATGGAGAGGGTTCATTGTGGCATGAAATCGTAGACAAATGTAAAAAGCTTTCCAGTTTGGGTTTTGCGAGTTTTCCTTTAAATCTTATCCCTACCTGCATGACAATTAGGTTGCTATCATACATACTTGAATTTTTTTTTTAAATGTTGTTTGTTTTCTCTTTTTTTATTTCAGATATCTCATGCTGCTGATCTTCTTCAGCCTCTTTGAGACATGTCCTATGTAAATGTGCTCACTCCGACGTCAGCTGGAGATCATTACTCTGGACCAGCTACTGTTAGTGACAGTGGTTGACCATGCCAGTACATGTGTCAGCACCAGGGACACATGTGACCAGGTGACAATGCACAAGCATACCTGGGATATAGTTGTCTTCCATTACAGGAAGTGCGTAAACAAGGACTTCCTTTAATGAAGGCTACTATTAATATTAAGATTAATAACAACTTTTGAAACTGTATTAACATGCTAAAGCTATATGAGATTATAGTGACCATGTTTAGCTCTAATTTACCTCTAAAGGCAAAGTCTGCTTAAAATGTACTATGCAGCAGAGGCTGACTGCCAGGGAATGCTATAAAGCCAAGCAGGGTCTTTCGTTGCAAAAGTGTTGAGATTTTCACAATGGGGGAGTTAGATATCACCTATTGGGGCTGAGAGACTTTTAAGGAGCTGGTATATAAAAAATTGGAAGGTCTTATCACAAACATTGCCTATACTCTACTGGACACAGTAAAGCAGATAAGAGAGGCGGCCATATAAATTGACTGTAGAAAAGACGTGTTTGAAGCCTTCTTTATTTATTACTGGCACGTGCATTGGCTGCTTTCAACGTTTCCATCTAATATTGTTTGTGCTCTCTGATATTGGTTGCTTGGGATGAAGGATGAGATTGAGGGCTTTGACAATGAATTTATATGGTTTGTACTGCCAGGGCTGCCCAAGTCTGTCAGATTTGGCTGTCACAAACAGTAAATAGGCAAAACAGGCTGGTCGCCCCTGAAAAGCAAAAGTCTCAAGTGTCCAATTTGCAGATACAATACTGTATATGAGCAGCTTAAGATCACTCAAGTCTAAAAGTACACAATGCTGGGCAACTAAAACAGATAACAATACATAAAAGAAGGTTCACTGACCCTGGCCTTCCTGAGCCTATCTATTGGGCTTTCAATGTTATGGGCAGCTTGGAAGTCCTTTAGGAAGGCTGGGGAGTTGGGAAGGGTGAAGCACAGTTCAATATTTGCAGGAAGAATTCAAGATTTGCCTATATCTCTGGATCAAATGATCATCCTGACATGCGGATTTCACTGAACATACATTCAGAGTCAATTTTCCATTTTTGTAACAGGTTCAAATTAAAAATGTACTTACTGAAGCCTGGTGGTTTTGCTGATTGCACTATAAATGTGTGCGTGTGTGTATGTGTATATATATATATATATATACATATA